TCAGCAGCTAAGGGGTACATTCTAATTCCCTTAAGTGCATCCATGTTTCCCCTATTGGCATCCTTTCCTTGCATCTTAGTCCCGCCCATCTAAAATGTAAGGAAAACGTGAGGAGACAGGAACTGAGGAAGCATGTTTTTAGTGTCTTTAGAGGCATGAGGTGTTCTCTCTCCTGATCCGTCATCTGAAACATTGAGTCACTAACTGATTTCTGATAAAGGGGCATGTCTTTCCGTAAAGACTTTTGCGAAGGATAGTCTTGAGAATCCTTGCTCATATCTCCTCCAGACAGCCTCTTTGCTTTTCCAAACAGTTATAAGGGAATTGGAACATCCTTCATGATGGCAGACCGGTCAAGCAAGGAGCAATCAGATAAGGGCACTAGGATGTACCCATAGAGAGTTCTGGTGATGTAATGAAGATGAATGTCAGTCTACTGCTGTGTTTTTAGTATCAACATTTTTAGGATATTGGTCTCCTAAGAAGTTGATGCTTTTATACCCTGATAGACTGATAATGAAATGTTAGGTTCATAGGTAACATTCAAATAAGTAACATCGAGTTTTGTAGACTTAAAACACTCACTGTACAGTATGCTAAGGACAGTGCTGTTACTATATTGAACTAAAGTAAAGTAGATGAATAACCACATTGGAAAAGGTAGCAGAAAGTATTCAGACCCCTTCATGTTCTCACACTGTTTTATAGATTTAGTTATAAATGGATAAAGCTTGCAGTTTTGTCCAATAAGCTACACTCATTAATCCATTAGACTCCAACTGTTACAAATGGAACTGATTGGACGTGGTTTAGAAAGGTGTGTATATTCTTCACACTTTATCTCAGGACAGAAACTGAGTGATAAAGTCCAAAGAACTCCCTGCAGACCTCTGATAAAACTACGGTGAGGCAAAGATCAGGACAAGGATGTAAAATATTTCTGCAGCAGTGAGTGTTCCCGGGGGCACAGTGGCCTCAATAATTATGCAATGGAAGGAGTTTGGACTTTTGCTAGATTTGGTTGTCTGGCCAAACTGAGTAATCAGGCAAGAAGAGCCTTTGTTAGGGAGGAAACCAAGAACCAAATGGTCACTAACAGCTTCAGAAGTTGTCTGCAGAAATGGAGACACTGCTGGAAAGATGACCATCCCAGCAGCACTCCATCAATCCGGCCTTTATGGAGTGGCTAGATGGAAGGCATTGAGTTAAAGACACAGGACAGACTGTGTGGAGGTGTCAGGCAACATTTACTCTGAGAGCATTACAAAAAACCTTCTCTGGTCTTATAAGACAAAAATACCTAATACCATCCTTACAATGGTGGGGGGCAGAATCCTGCTATGGGAAGTTCTCAGCAGCAGGGACAAGAAGAGTGATCAGAACTGCAGGAAGGAGGAGTGCAGAGAACCTGTTCCAGAGAGCAGTGACCTGAGACTGGGGCAACAGTTCACCATTCAGCACGACAGTGACCTAAAGCATGCAGGCAAAACAACACTGGAGTGGCTTCAGGACAAGTCTCTGAATGTCCTTGAGTGGCTCATCCGAAGCCCAGCCTCAAACCCCAGGGAGCATCTGTGGACAGACCTGACACAGTTCACAGACATTTCCCATCTAATCTGAAGGAGCTTGAGAGGATCTGCTAGGTAGAAGAGGATAAACTGCTGAAATCCAGGTGTGCAAAGCTTGCAGACACTTACCCAAGGAGACCTGAAGCTGCAATTGTTGCCAAAGGAGCTCTGAATACTTTTATAAATGAGAGGTATTAGTTTGGGGTGCAAATGTCAATTTTAGCCATATAAAATTGACATTTGTACAAAGGGGTGCCTGAATACTTTCTGAAGGAACTGTATATTCATCTCATTTAGTCATTTTTATAGTGATCCATTACCAAAAAAAGGCTTTGCCAGTGTTTCCATTTAATATATATTTACCTTGACGTCCGGCAGACAAGACCTATCAGAATAAAAACTAATTAGTATGCCTATCATCATTCACCACTTACCCACAGACAAACACTAGATGTTACAACCCTGTTTTGCAATCCAGAGCAAGTATATCCGTAAAACTAAATTAGACGTTAGTCAATGAAGCAGGACCCACAAATGGTGCCTGCAGCACATCTGTATTGTCATGAATCTACAGCACGTGATCGTAATCTGATTATTGTTGTTGCTATTATTGCTACAGGCAATTGCCAACTTGGAAAGACCTACCAAGGAGATTGCTCTGATGCCTCCAGTCAGGAGGAAGGTAAGAAGAAGTTAAATTCCTTTACAACTCATGTTTCTAGTGCTGCGTGTTTTGGTGTGTCGAGAGTAGTAGTGGCGACGAGAAAGAAACAAAAAGGACAAAGGAAATTCACGGGAGCATGAATAATTAGTGAATATGGTCTGATTGTGTTCACAGACAAAGCAAAGGAATGGGTTTCTAACCAGGACTGTAGCCGTAGCTTAAGCTATATAGTAAACATGAAAAGCTACGGTAACCTACATTTGGTTTTAAAGGTCATTTGTAAAGACTGAGGCTGTAACAAATCCTCACGTTTCAAGGCCAGATTTGTGGCTCATATGCTGGACTGAGTTTAAGTCGAGCAGCAGTAACCGTAGTGCTGGCCCGGCTCGTACTCTACATCTGAATTGTTCCATCCATCCATTTTATAATGCTTTTAAATCTTGTATATATGATTAATGTTTTACTCATTATGAATACTGATCGTTTGATAAGGTAATTATATATTGTATTTACAGTTACGATATTTCCTTTAGCTTTAAACAAGCATTTGGCTTAAACTGGGCAACTGAAAAAGCTATTCAAGTTTGTTTTTATAGGCAAATTACAAATTTGCCTCAAGGGCCTTTACAGTCCATGCAACATACAGTGCCCTCTTTATTGTCTTTAAAGAAATGTATGTCATTGTTAAAGTTAAATGTTATGCATCATTATCTCATTTGAACTGCTGCGTTGACCCAAGTTGCAAAATTTTCTGTGGCAGAATATGGTCTGGTATGTCTTGTGTAAAGGTTTCAATGGGCTTTGGGTTTAGTGATGACGGCTAGAATTGAGAGGTAATAACACTATTATGACTGCCAGTTTTCTAAATCTACACAGATCTGCTCACTTCTACTGTACACCTGCAAATCTGTCAGTGTTCATCACAAGGTGATGCCCCGCAGATCTTTTTACCTTGTCACAGTGGGAAAGCATCTATGATAAGCATTTTACATTATCGATGAAAAGTAGTTATAATGTTGCTTTATTTTTATCTAAGATTTAGAGTCGTATGTTCAGGGACACAAGAAGAAGCATGGTACCAGGAGTCCCTGTCAGTGGTGAGTAGATTGACTGTGATCTGATTTAAAAAGAACACATCACTGCCGCAAATAATATTTCAATACAACTAGACCATTACAATAAAAACCAACAGCCAGCTAGTCAGAACACAGAACATGATCTTTACGTATATCTGCAACAGAATGCATAAAGTATGAAAAAACATGTATCGTTAGTCTGATAGCACTTGTATTTCTGTCGTCTCCATCAGTGTGTCTAGTGCCAAAGCCTCCCAGGGTGATAGCTGGGCCCACGGCACAGAGCTCAACGGTTCGGCCGACAGGAAGAAGAAGAGCTGTACACTGAGGAGCAGTCAGGAGGCCCAACAGGTGACAGCAGGCTATAATACATGGCCCACTGCTACTAGCTTTTAGCTTATGTTTTCACTGTTTTAAAATCTATATGATTGTTGCAAAAGTTCCATCTGGGTTTCCTTTAAATTGAAGAAGTAAGCTACAGTACAAGCTGCTAATAAAAGTAGTCTAATTACAATAAACCCCCTACAAGAGGCAGTTGGAAAAACAGTTTCAAGTCACTTGGTTGAATCAATGTTTGATTAGAGAAGCTGTAGGTCTTCTGTACAGGTGCTCTCCCATGACTGGCTTGACAGTAAGAAAAGGAATATTTTTCTGAGGATGAGCGCATTGAGATATTTTTACTTTTTTCATATGTCGCAGCAGAGCTGTGTAGCAGAGGTGGTGTAATTATTAACTCAGCTGTACAGTTCATCAGCACAGTACTCTGAACACTAGTTAATCATTATAAGCTGCAGTTACAGCTATTGCAAATGTAATTGTTTTCCATAACACATGAAAATGAGAGTTGATTTATCTGTAATTAGTTAAAATGTAGCAGTAGTAGATTTGGAATGAAAAATCTGTTTTTTTAAAACATAAGTTGCATACAATGAACAGCTGACAGACAACACAGATAACACTAAATGCCACTTTTCACCAAAGATTTTTGGCAGTAGGACATTCCCAAACAATCATATACTGCACCTACTTGCATTTAGTGTACTGGTCTGGAGTAATCGGATAACTCTAACTTAAAATTATATGATTTACACAGATCAATGTAGGTGTGACTATTCAGTTTTAACCACGAATAGCTAGAATTTGTGCCTGTGCTATATTTACACCATTGTCTTCCCATTTGTGAGAAACTGTGAAGTGCTATAGCAGTCAAGTTGTAACTTTGTAGTGACTCTGTAATCCCCAAAAATATCCTAATTTGTTGTTTTCACCACATTAGACATAAGTTACAAAACACACACACACAAATAGAAAGCTTCAGTTGTGGGAAGGATCACCTAAATTCCAGAGGAATTCTTTGAAAACTGAATGTTGTTGTAAATGCTTGGGATGAAACTTGTAGCTGCCCTGAAACATTCCGACTCATTATGTTTCTTTCAGCATCAGGACACTGAGAAGAGAAGCCACCCAGTCACTAAAATCAAGAGCAGAGTCCTACCCACAGACAGGTAGGTCTGCAACAGAAACAGTGTTATGGTAACAGCTGTCTGCGCTACAGTATAATACTGTTGAGTAAAATAGAAATAAAGCCAAATAAACATTTCATTTTGCTTTGTGAGACGGAAGTCATGCTGACCCTGTGTGTCACATGTAGTCACCTGCAGTTTAAAAAGATTTCATCTACTACTACAACTTCAACTCTACTTATATTCCACATCTGTATCCCTTGTTACTTTTTTCTCTGCTGACATTTCTCTGCCCGCTTGTCTCTTGTATCTGCCTCCTTTCAGGGAAAAGGGGAAGAGGAAAGGAGCTGCTTTTGTAACCAATGGTAGTTTGATTCCAGCTCTGTCACCTCTGAGGAAAGGTGAGCACCTGGGTGGCTGTTTAGCTGGCTGGTTGTAGTAGACCAACAGAAAAAAAGGAGCATGTGGTTCCAGGGTGGCTCTTGTAATAAATGGAGGGAAAGACAAATATACTGTGGGAGAGAAAAGAAACCGTGCTGCTTTTCTGAAGATAACGAGATTAGTTACTGTAGCCTGACCAATTATTTGGCTTGCTCTGTATCATGGTCAGAGGATGGAGCTGCAGCAGTGGCTTTCAGGATTAAAATAGTGCCTATCCGGTCCATTCACCCCACAGCAGTGGTCCTTAGGTTACTCCTTAGTAGGGCTGCCCCCTAATAGTCGAATAGTCGAGTCATTAGTCGTGAGACCTGTCTGTCGAATGAGACTCCTCTAAGTCAAGTCTTTGTTTTTATTTTATTTTTTGTCAGCCAGTGTGCATTTCAATAGAAGGCAGCCCCAGTTATTTTGTCACCTTCTTTTCCTCATTTTGGTGTGCCAAGCAGCAGTTTGGTCAGTGCTCCCCCTGTGGTCGGGTAGGGGATGCACACTACAACAGTGACACTGTCTGATACGTGGATGTACATTAAGGTCGAATCTACTTAGCAAATTACAGAACAAGGAGAAAAGGATGACAAAATCCACTAGGACAAGCCAAAAAAGATGAGATTTGTGTTTTCTCAGAAGAAAAAATTGTCTATAAGAGCACTGTTTCAACAGAAATACAAGTGTGCTGCCCGTCTTTTTATCCCAACAAATCCATATGGCAGCCTGACATTATATGTATTGTCATTTTAAATAAGTCGTAATTTAAATCTTGCATCATACGCAGCTGTCTGTATTGATTTTTAAATGCTCAGAAATATGTTCCTGTCCCTCTTTTGCATTTAAATATTGATGTTAATGTGGTCAAAATCATCACTGAAATTCATGCCAGTTGATTTTCTGACAGTCTAGGCTATTTATATCACCAAAAATAAGTCATAGTTCTTAGTCAAAATGGTGGTCCCTGGTCCACAACTAGCTTAAAACCCCTGGTTTAGATGCTAACGCATCCTTACTGAAGAACACCGCGTCTCAAAATGCCAAACCCATGTTAACCCTGGTTTTAGCTGATGTACCTTTAAAGAAAAAACACAACGCTGATGTGTATGCTGGTAGTGCATATAATGATGTTTTACACAACAAACATGCACAACAGTAGCTCTGCTTAACCATATTTTGAGCAGGTACATATTTCATACAAATACTCTTTAGCCTTTTACTGGTCTGCAGTTTAACATGGATGTTGTTGCAGATGGGGGCTCTGGTCCAGATACCTTTGGTGAAACATCATCTGAAAGTTACAGCTCTCCTTCCAGCCCTCAACGGCCAGGACTAGAGAGCCCGGACAGTGAGGATGATAACAACAAAGGTATGTATAAAGAACATTTGAAGAATTCAAGTTTATTAATGAAGCACACAACTGTGCTGTAATACATCTGTTACTGTCAACTGTCACAAAGATGTTTGTGGACTGAATATGTTCTTACCAGACGCTGGTCTTCTGTTAGATATACACAACCATTCGGATGACTCCAGTAAAGGTCTGCGCCCTGACATGTGCTTCCCACACCAGTCTGATGCAGCTGTAGCAGGGAACGTCTCCTCTGTCCACTCTCGGTCTTCCAACAACCAGCAAACCCAGATGCCAGCCCTGTGCCCAGAAATCAGCACCGAGTTCTCTCCTCCTCTTTCTTTCATGCATCCATGCAGGGCCACTGACTCTCCGCTCCCACTGGGCCCTCCTCCCAGCCAAAGCATCATACCTGAGGGAAAGGCCTCAACTCGAACACTGATGATGCAGACGCCCTTAGTGCCTTCAGCTGTCCCCAGCCATGGAATTATGGGAGACCCAGAAAAGAGGGAAATGCTCCCAACCTTTGGGATTTCACCTATTGGTCCGCACGCTCCAGGAAGTCTTGTTGTGCAGCCTCTGGTCACAAGGTTCAAAACAGTGCAGCCTCACAGCCAGGGTGGTACTGATGGTGCCTCAGGGAATGGTTCTACTCCTGCTGTCCCACAGACTTCAAACCATGCACCCATAAGAGCCATTGCTGTCATGACTCATGGCCCTACTTGCTTCCCCTCTACTCTTCAGCAACCTCTGCTCTGCCAAGATCTGGCCAGTGTCAGCTCATGTCTGGCCTCCTCTCTGCCACAAACTTCACACGCCAAGCACCAGAGCTTATCCTTACCTTCGGGCCTGCCTTCTCCCTACACCATGGCCTCTGTAGGAGCACCTGCAGGCACTGGAACTGCCCAATCTCCTGGAAATGTACAAGCAGCTGTTCCTCTAGCTGTGCCCACCCATACCCCTGGACCTGCCCCCAGCCCCAGCCCAGCACTCACTCACAGCACGGCACACAGTGACTGTACATCCTACAGCAACAGCAGCACTTTCTGTGGAAGCGCCCCTGTTGCCTCTGGAAAACCCATTACTCCCCAACAAGCCCAGCACCAACAGGTGGCCTCCCAGCAGCCAGTATCACTGCAGCCACCACCACAACAGCAGCAGCAGCAGCAGCAGCAGCAGCAACCAGCTCGCTGTGGGGCTTGTGGCTGTGACAAAAAACGTGGGGGGTCAGCAGCAGCACCAACAGTGTCAGCAACGTCTCCACCTGTCAAACAGCCTTATTCTTCACCACCCACCAGATGATGTTTAGTGTTTCTCCACCTCTCTTCCATGTGACTAGCCTGTGCAGTAACAACTACCTCACCCAGGCCCAGCCTCCTCATCAGGCCAACAGTGCTGCAACCCTGCCCTCCTTCTTTCGTACCACTCCTCCCTCTGCACACCCATCCCCCTATGGCCCCCTCCACACTCATTCTCACAGCCACTCAGATGTGCCGTCACAAATGCTGGGCACCCAGGCGGCAGCCGCCGCAAATTACAACTTCCAGCAGCAGATGGCGCCAGCAGCATCGTTCTGTCAGCACATCTACCAGCATGTGTACACAGCTCCTCTGGGGATGCTGCCTCCACTGACACTGGCGGGAGGAGTCAATAAGAAGAATGGCAGTGTGTCCTGTTATAACTGTGGTGTGAGCGGTCACTACGGTCAGGACTGCAATCAGCCCTCCATAGACTCTGCACAGCAAGGTAACACAGCTACACAGAACAGAGACGAACACAGGAGCCCTTAGTTTTTCTTTCCCAGAACCTCAAGCAGTTAGAGCTGGTTTTTATCAAGTTCATTTTGAGCTGTTTCATTTTTACTCTGCTGGGTTATCACCATAAGTTTGATTTGTTTGGCCAGAAGAAAGCTGCACCACTGGAACATTCAGGTTGTAACAAATAGCAGCAATACAACGCTTAAAATTCAATGATCTGTTAGGATGCCCGTTTACAGTATAGTAGGAGTAACAGTGTGCATGTTCTTACATAGAGTAAATCGTAGAGTGCAGCAATTATGGAAAAAAGGAGATAGGCTTGTCATATATAGAGCAACCTATTTTTGACTTTGCCACCAAACTCCATTTTGACCAGACAGTTTGTTATACCAGCTCTTGATTTGTGCATTTATATGCAGACAAGATAATTTATCTTCACAACAACAAGCAGTAGCTGTGACCACAACCCTAGTGAATTTTTTTTTTTTTTAACCCCTTCTTTAGGAAGCAGTTATACATGAAACAGCACTTCAGGCCATGAGACTGACTTTCAAACCACTTACAGCTCACTTGCACAGATTATCCAGAAAAGGGAGCTCATTAGTTAGACTGGTTCTACTGGTTTAGACCATTGACTGTATATACTGTAAACATGTACAGCATCTCACCACTTTTCCTCTGCCATGCAAAAGTGAAGCCAAAATATCATGAATATTGCGGCTGCTGTTTTGGCAATTTGCAACAAGATTCTGTGCAGTAGTTAGTGACTGAGCAGCTGAATGATAGCACCAGACTGCCAAACAAATCTGTGAAATCATCCAAAATACACCCCTTTTTATATCCTCAAGTAACTTGGGGTCAGTTAAACTTAAAAATTCATGCTATACATACAACCAAAAAAGATTCTGTATTTCCATAAGTGGTGTAAAACTATGGAATAATTTAAATGTGGACATAAAAAAATAGTAATAGAATTGATGAGTTTAAACATAAGTATAAAGGTATGTGTCAATCAAGATACATGCAAGAACAGGTTTAATGATTAATTAGATGGAACATTGTGGGTGTGGGGTAAGAATGTTAATACTCTGTAATAATTCTTTAGTATATTACTTGTGTAGCGTAGAAGATAATTAACTATGAATGTAATTATGTAGAATGTTAACACTCTGTAATAATTCTGTAGTATATTGTGTGGTGTAGAGGATAATTATTTATGTAGAGATATTGCTTAGGACCTAACTTCTTCCTACTCCGTTCAAGCATGTACTAGGTACAAGTAAATTGATATTGGATTATTATTGTTGGATATGTATGAAATTACATGTGTTGACATATCAACTGTTTTACATGCTTGAATGAATAAATCAAATCAAAAATCAACTTATTAAAAAGAAACTTAACAGAACAATGACCATTTGTACACACATCAGCATGATAATATCAACCAAAAACAACAGAAATCACATGTGGGAAAGTTTATCTGATTTGTAGTTTGAGTTTTTAGTTTGGCTCATATCTCATCCACTAACGTGGAGGGGGCAGATTTATGACCCACAGTATATTGTAACCAGCTGTCATGTTCTCCATCATTATATGCAGTCAATGGTTTAGACCTACACGTGTAGAAATGTCAGTACAGGTATCTGCTTAACTACCTGCAGGCAAATAATGTTATGGGCAGTGTTGTTTTTTTTCCCCAGCTGTGTTTTGAGATTTTACAGTGTTTTTCATAAGAAAAATAACTGCAGTTGTTTATACCTCTTCCCTGCACAAGTGTCGTCATTGCAGCCCTAGCCCAGGTTGGGACAATCTCACCCACTGCACAGGAGACAAGGTGTATGTTTTCCAAGTCAACTAGTTAGCCCTCAACTAACAAAAAACAAAAAAAGATCAAACCAAATCTGTCTTCTATGTGTGGTTTGCCAGTTTGTTTTCAAGCATTGCTGCCACCTTGTGGCCAGTGGAAGAGCCTGCAACTCTAACCAATCATAGGTACAGTATTTTTTTTTTTGCTAACGCCTCAGGGAGCATTAATGAAGTTATTAGGAATGTGGCACACCACAATGAGGTGAAGAAGATGCAGTGGGGAACAACTTGGATAAGTGCTACATTGGTGAGATTTATGTTTTATTAAGTGTTTGTCCAGTTAACCTTCCCACCTTTAATTCCCTTAGCTTTTCTGTGGGAAGACTCTGGAAAGCTAGTGGGGCTGCCTAAGTACAAGTGAAAGTAGGTTTGACACTTTTGCCACATGCAGTGAGTGTTAACAGCAGTTGATTTTTCGTTTTGCAAAAGCACTGTAAAACCTCAACACCTTATAGGTGGTGAAATTTGCAGGTCGAAGCGATGAAAAGTCAGCCGACTTTGAATTAGTCATTTAAACTGTGATCATTGTGTCATTTAGTAAAATTGACAACAACAACATGATGTTCATTGTAAAGTCTCTGCAAACTGATTTTCACAAACTGATATGAATACAAACCTGTGACTGTCTGGATGCTACAAAATTTTTCATTTAGCTCATTCAAAGGAACTTGAAATATGACGAGCAAAAAACTAAATGGTCATGAGCAAAAACACTTGAGGTTCACAGCAACCGAGGTCATCACTGACCTTATCTAATGTTGAGATGATTGGTTCCTCTGCTGTCCTCTGACTGTGTTCTCTGTCTCCATGTGGCTGCTTGTGTGTTGGGGTTGTAGGTGGCTTCCGGTTAAAGTACACGGCATCCCACATTTCAGAAACACCCGACAGTGAGGACTGAAGACGAAAGGATGAGGAGGAGTTCCTCTGTTCTTTCCTCAGCACTGTGTGTGAGTAGTACTCAGAACCTCAGGAGACAAAAAACATTCTCAAAAAGAAAGTGACCTGCCAAGGGCTTAGTGGACACAGCCTCAATGTTTGTACCTGAGAAAATGTTGCTCCTGCGACTCCACTTCTTTTCTCTTTCAGTTTTTGATATGTTTGCACTGAGGGCTGGAAGCAATTAAATTATTACTTAATTATTAGGAAAATGACAGATGCCTCGTCTGCAAAAGGGTCTTATTATACACATATTTGTAAAATGGTAAATTTATGCTTTTTCTCATTCTTACTGTTCAGCGCGAATTTTACTGTCTGATAGAACTGTACAGCAGTTTTCAAAGATTAAAACAAGAATCGGTTGCAATTTTGGTGTAAGGTTTTTGAATGTACACCTAATTTAAGGAATTGTATCAGAGTATATGTATGCATTTTTGCTACTTGATGTATGTATGGTTTGAAGATTAATGCTGCTTTCTTAATTTTATTTTATTTTATTTTTGTGTTTTAAGTAATTTTCTTTGGTAAAATGCACTAATAGTGATGAAGGAATGTAAGTGCACTAAAATGTTCTCACCACAACCAAGCTGATGAGTAATGAGTCATTCATTTTTACTGTTTAAACTGATATTAGACCAAAATAGTTGAGGAACAGCATTTTTGTCTGTTTTAGTATACTTTATGTCTGGACTAGGTGTGAAATACTAGAGTATACTAAAATACTTAGTGTGAAACCGTTTCTTTTTACTGCCAACATTTTAGAGTGAGTGAGATCTGTGTTCTAAATAACAGAATACTAAAGCTGTAGAAATACGACTGTGGAGAAAACTCACCCTGTTCCCTCACAGTAGTCCGTCCACTTCCTTAGTTAGGATTTTTGCTTACTAGTTTACTAGTAAGAGTCAAAACGCCCACTAGTTACACTAGTTGGTCTTTTTGACATAACTTTTTAACTAGTTATACATCTTCTACTAGTGGACCAGTTAGGACTAAAAAGAGTAACTAGTTAACTAGTGACACCTAAGTCTTCCCCATTGTTTAATTAGTGGAAGATGTTCTGTCCTAATAGATGGACTTTCTAACCAACATGTTAAGACTTTGACTGAACATGTTAGACATCGTTCCTGTTACCGGTTAAGCCTTTTCTTTAACTAGTTGAGCATCAGTCACCACTAGTGAGTAATTGTGCACAACCAGTGAGACCTTTGTTTAACATGTAGGCCTTTTTGTCTCACTAGCTGATATTTTTGGCACACTAGTTTAAATTTGCATTTTACTAGTTTGACAAAACTGCTCACTAGTCGACATGTGCATGCTACTAACATGTAAAATGCTAATGTCAGCTAGTGCACTAAAAATATTAACTAGTGTGACAAAAAGGCCTGCATGTTAGTCTCACTACTCACGCACAGTCACTCACTAGTGCTGACTGATGTTCAACTAGTTAAAGTTCACTAGTAGATCATGTGTGTAACTAGCTAAAAGGTTAGGTAAAAAAGACCTCAACTAGTGTAACTAGTGGGTGTTTTGACTGACTAGTTAACTAGTACACATTGTCTTGCTAGTTAACTAGTAGGCTAAAACAGTCCCCAAGTAGTCATTAACTACTTAGCATGTTTGCCTTGACTAGTTAACATGTAAGCTGCAACCACTAGTTAACTAAAGTTCCTCAGGCCATCATGTTAACTAGTGTGCATTATGCAAATAAAGCAGGAGGAAAAATGACTAAATCCTGAGTCCTTATTGGTTGGCTTTTTTCCCCCTTTACTTTAACTGGAGAGCTCATCGGAAGCCTCGGTGCACGCTTCTTTCCCACCTCCTCATTAGCATTTTGTGCAACTAGTTAACCAGAGAGTGTTTTGGCTTTTACTAGTTCAACCAGTGAATGTTTTTATTTAACTAGTTGAGTCAAAATGTCTCTCACTAGTTAAATAAAAACATTCACTGGTTTTATTTAACTAGTTGAGTCAAAATGTCTCTCACTAGTGGATATTTAAAGCTTCACTGGTTCATTAATGTCCAAGTGACTTAAACTTGTATGCCACTAGTTAACTAGTGACCCGAATCTATGCTTGACTTGTTAACATGTCAGAGCTTTTGCAGTTCCCTAGTTAGCTAGTAAGACCTTTACATTACTAGTTCAGTCCAGAGGGCCACTACTGTGTGAAAAAGGTGACTAGTTGGGACTCTGGAGCTACTATTATGACGCCCGACGTTAGTACGGCTTATGCTGGAACAAGTTGGAAAGAAAGTGCCACTAGTTGCTGAAAAAGAGCAACTACTAAGAGTTTCTGTTCAACTAGTATGGCAAAATGTCCAACTGCTGCAGCCAGATGTCCAACTAGTGCTGATAAAGACCGGAGCAGACGAGGGAAATGACATCTGATATCAAATAAATGCTAAAACAGTTTGCCATAATTTACTGTAAGTCTGTGAAGAATATATACCCTCGAATGCCCTGCAGTTAAAATGGGAAATCTGCTTTTTCACTTTGAAGATTATGTGTGTCCTAAAATCATTTCCTTTAAAGTTCATTCAAGGCAGTGGATCATAAGATGCCCAGTTCTGGATCCAGTGAGCAGATGTGAAACAACCAGATCATGCCTGGTGTAGTCTAGCGATCTATATAATGAGGTATCACCAAAAAACCTAAGTGTAGTTTGGTTGACCTTTAAAAAAACAACAAAAAAAAACAACAAAACATTGTACTGTGGCCACTGCTGCCACTCGAAGTTGCTATGTTTACTCTTTGATATCTCTGTACTGGTCAAATATATTTCCAGAGTGTAATTTGCATTTTATGCAAACTGTTGATTTGTTTTCTCCCCTGTAGCAATAAACAAAACACTGGAAGGTGAATTTGTCCTAATGACCTTTGCATTTATTGTTGGAGTATTTCACAGTGTTGAACAGCACGAGCTTAAGTATTACCCTTAAATATAACAAGTGTAACCTTTGAGGAGTAAAATTGATTTTTTTTTTTTTAATGTGGAGTGTAACAGGAAGGATACGTTATACACTGGAATGCATTAACTATTTGATAAACTAGACCAGATGTTGAATAACTTAGTTATTACTGGCAAAACATTTTTGACCATTTCACATATATTTCTGGTGTAGCCAGAAAATGGAAATATATGGGAACATACAAGCTGCAGAATGACTTAAAACATCTGCATTAACTAAGAGGCTATTTAACTAAACTAAAACCATTATTTTTCATTAGGCACTGAATAAAGGTAATTGACTGGCATCCTGGAAGGACCAAAAATTACTCCTAAATATTACAGTGCAGTTTGGGAAAATGCCATTAACTATGTCCAATATTGATAATAAATTGGTTAAATCTTGCATAGGCACTAATGGATGTGTAGTACACTCCCATAAGTATAATTCACTACCTGTGAATAACACAATTTCTTATTTCTTTGGGAGACAGGGTGGATAAATACAGTACTTACACACTTTGACTAAACAGGCACATTCAGGAGCAACATTCACAAACTCTGATTCACTGAACTTTGAAGATGACTGGTGCCAAAATCTCTCTTTATAACAGATTTATGAACAACAATAAAGTGGCACAAAGTACTAATGGTTAACTGTAAATATTAGATTACCTAATGTACTAACTCATGTCACCCATATGGGTTATAGCCAACTAGTAACAGACTGTTTGTTAGATCTAACAAACACTTTTCATGTGTGATTAAGTGCCGTTGTTTTGCAGTGAGTCTGTCAGACACTTGTTGTACTCAGCTACTTGTTGGTAAACCTTCTTGGCAACTGAGGTGTAGTCACTCTCCTGGGATTTAGAAGCAATGACTGATGCTGCAGTTAAGGAAGTATCACTATGGTGGCCCTTAAGGATAAAGCATAAACACTGATTGGAACTTGCTTCAAATCCAGAAATGGCACAATCATGAAAACACATACAAACTAACAAAAGAGATGCTACAGTGGAAGTGCACTGGGACCCTGTCTGCTTTGTCCTTAGGGGCCAAATGGCGTTTATAGACACAATTCAGTGGTCTCACTTACCTGTTCTCCTTGGATGTGATGAGTAGCATCAGACAGCTAACACACAAACAGGTACAGATAAACAGGGTTTTGAAGGAAGTTGTTCTGCTCCAGGTGTTGCCACTTCCGCTCCAGGTTTGCCAGCTACATCATAAAGTGCACAAGAGAAAACACAATAGATTAACATGGTATAAGTGCATAGCTCAAGGGCACAACAGCCATTACTGAAGAAGGGATGGGTGCATTTTTATCCACATTTGTGAGCATCTGTTGAAATCACGGTATGAACCAAAACCCACACACTGAACTTAGAACTAGAGATCAGATTCAACTGAATTCTTTATGTGAGTTACACAACTGTTTTTCATTTTGCAGGTTCAGTAATAAAAACAAAAGGTCTGGTTTTGAGAAAAGGTGACAACATTGTGTTGCATTTTGTAAAACATGCATGCTCAAAATTCTATCATTTTCCAAAACTCTTCACTGAATCAACAAAAACATATACTGACATCCTAACATTGTTTTAAACACACTGCACCACATCATAAGTTCAAACCTGAAGTCATTTAGTGTTAAAATACAAAACTACAAATAAAAGGCAGTGTTGTTTACTGTTGCATCAGGCGATAGAGACCATCTACAAACTATCTCCTGCTCTAGTCACTCTGGAAAAACAGCACCATTGATATCAGTAGTGTCAGCTTGTAAAATAAGGTTGTTCTGTCTTTTTTTTTCATTTATAATTGTAATGAAAATGTTTTACACTAATTCCACTTGTGTATGTTTATTGTATATCAGTATGTGTATCTACAGGAAGTCAGGATGTTTGAAAGTACATGGAGTGAAATCTCTAACCTGAGCGTGAGTCTCATTTTCTTGCAGTTTGCTCTTCAAAGCTTCATATTTATGGTTCATCTCCTCCAGAAGCTGTCTGAATGAATCCCGGCGCTGGGTGAGAGACACTCGCTCCTCCTGCAGTCTCTGCACCACAAGAACATACACATGGCTTTAGTTGTCTTAGCAAAATACAAATATGTTTGATCAGGAGGAGGATGATGATGATGATGATGAAGGAACAGACAGCTATAAACAAATATACCTGTAAATACACATAATAGACAGTAGACAGCTACTGTATCTATTTGTTTTACTTTGTCTATTACTCAGCGTGTACTTGAGAACTTTAGGATTGTCCATGTGCTACCTTCATCTTCTCATCGGCTGTCTTTCTCAAGGTGTCCAGGTCTTGGTAGGTATGTATCTCAGACTCCATGCTACTAATGCGCTTCTTCAGGGTGCTCAGTTCTCCTGTGATCTTCCCCTCCAGCTGCTGCACCTTGTCCAGGTCCTGCTGCAGACGCTGGGACTCTGGATGGTGATAATCAAAGTCAGTAAGTAAGTAAGCATTTGCTTGTTTGACATGTTTTCATAGTGGGTATCCTTTACTGGGACTGTGTGTGTGCGCGTATGCGTGTGCATGCATGTTACTGGCCTGTTGCCAGCCAGCTGGCAGTGCTCTCTGAGTGGACCACCTCTGTCTCTTTGCTGACCAGCACCTCCTGCATGTTCCTCAGCTCACTGGCTGTCACTGCATCCACTTGTTGTAGCCGTAACATGTTCTACGCACACACACAGTTTTAGTCTTCTCTTCTCGCTACATGTCCCTTTTTTCCATTCTCACTCCCAGTTACACCCCTTCCTTAATTTTCACTAAATATTTCACTATTTTCATTTCCCCCCTGTCAATTTTTCCACATGCTCCCTTCCTCACCCGGCTGATGTGTTCCAGGAGGGAAACAATGTTCTCCTGACTCTGAGATAGCTTCTCCTGCTCCTGAGTCCTGGACTCCTCAAACGACTCCAGGAACCCTGAAACAAATGAACAAATAAATGCCACTTACTACTGGCTCCATGTAATTACTAAATCTGTGTAATCATACATAAATATGCTCTACCCAGAATTTAAACATATTCTGATTTTGACTTTGGTGACCCCTAGACTACACTGAATTACCTGGTGAAGTGACTCAAATCTGATCTTTTCATGGACATGTGAATTAACCAAATCAGATTAGGGCCACTGCCATCTGTGGTCCTAGATCTGATTCATAACTGATATTTGACTATGTGACCACTGTCAAAACAGTCAGATTGGAATTTATGGGGTTTATTTCATGTCTCACTCCTCCTGCATATGGCCTGACATTGTCATTCAGTGCTGGCCCAATACAGACAGATAAAAAATAAACATAGAGGAGAGCAACAACAGTGAAGGTGTGCAATGGAGAGACGGGATTTTGATTTGTTGAATGTTTTATAGAGAAAATTCTGATCACAATATGCTGGAGGGAGCATCATAACGAGGAAGTATTTGAGGGAACTGCTAAATTTGACCATTATGGTTATTCTTATAGGTACATGACTCATATAGTTTAGAACCTTCCATGTTCAAATCAGAACGGGACACATGTCACAAACATGTATGTAAACCATCAACACACAAAGATCAGAAATGAGCATTAAGGCCTGTAATGTGAACACAGCCCTGATGGCTGTGTGCAGTGCTGCTTCTATATACAGTATAATCTGCACCAGCTGTCATGTTCTCACATTAGTTCAACCATTCTCCAAAACCAATACTCCAAGCCTGCAAAGGGATTATACTGAATAACAAAGCTGACCATGTACTACCAATAGCTCCAACAGAACTTACTTCCACAAGTCTCGATTTACAATATGAAAGCATCAACTGTCACATCGACATTAGATTATAAATATGAAGTTACTGAGTATATAATATTCTGATATTTGACACTGTTAGTGTCACCCACATTTGGTTCTGTTCAAAATGCCAACTTACGGTTGATTTCCTCTTCTTTTCTCTTCAGCTCCTTGTATTTCTGTTGACTCTCCCCTTATGAAAAAAATTATCAAATACATATTACTGAAGTACAGACAAACAAAAAAAAAACTCTTATGATTTGTGGACCTGCTTCCTGTTTGAGGTTTTCATTTTGGTTAGATTCCAGTTTTCTGTCACCTCACCTGCCCCAGCTTTACTCCGGTCTACAGTCACCACTCATTGTGTTCACCTGTCCCTCGTTTTCCACTGGTCTCTTGTGTATTTATAATCCCTCTTTCAAAAAAAACTGGGTCATTTTGTCTCCATGCTTTGTCACCCCTGTTGTCTCTGTTCTCTCAGCTCACCACTCCTGCATCTCTGTCCCATAAGTCTAGTACCTGCCTCTTGTTACTTCCGGACTTTGATTTGTCTCATTTTGCTTGTTTTTCCGATCAGCATTTTATTTTATTTCATTGGTTAGGTTTCCTTTTTGTACCCAGCTCCCTGACCTAGTTTTGTAGTTTGTGTTTTACTATGTCAGGTTGAGCCTTGGGTTTGGTTCCCATTTCTTGTTTTGTGATACATTAAAATTCTATTGACCTCTGCCTTGGCTTGCGTCTACATATTTGGGTCCTTCCCTTGCCCGAAACCTAACACTGTTTTTGTTACAGTTTAGAGTAAAATGCAACGTTTACACTAAAAGATGACAAAGAAGAAATTGTTTTGTGTTTGCACTACATAGTAAATTTTAATACAGAAAGGTTGAGTGATGCCCTTCAATAAATGTTTCATTATTATATCCCCAAAAATTCAAAGGTAGAATTTTTGGTGTAATTCCAGAAGGGTTTCAGAGAAGGACTCAAATGCTACTACGTGATGCCACTTAGCATGTTACATTTATCAAGATCAAATGTAATCCTCCTCAAAAGGTAGTGGAACTTTATGACTTAGAACAGGCCTGTAATGCAGCAACCTACCTATCTGGACTTAAAAGTGGCTAAATCTCACAGCAACTATAATCTAGATCAAGAAAGCTTAAATTTTAAAATATGAAATTGCATCAAAATGAGATGCCAACGAATAAAAAATAAAATATAAAAAGAAATGTAAAGTTTAAAGCACTCATCCAGTGTGTTACCCTGAGCTTCCTCTGAGTCATGCTCGAGCTGTTGGATGCCTTCTGTGATTTGTCTGGTCCTCTCCCTGATCTCTGTAATCCTGGACACACAGAAGCAAATACACTCACCAGCCACTTTATTAGGTACAACTGTATGCACTTCAGTGCAACACCTCCACATTAACATCTGTGTTTATGAAGCTCAAAATGTTTCAGTTTTTGGTGAAACTGTCAAATGTATAAATTAAATTATATTAAGGTCGTAGTTAAAGGTGGTGTAAACTGAAACATTTTGATAAAGTGCCCAGTGAGTGCAAGTTTCAAATATACAAGCAACTAATTCATTATTATGAATACATACTGTCTCTCCATGCTGGCAATTTCCTGGTTGTCCTCCTTTACCTGAAAAACAAGATCTTAAATCAGTTGTTAATCAACCCTAAAATAAAATCTGTGAAATTAAAAGTTGACTCTGGTTTATTATAAAAACAGATTCATCTTCAGTCTGAGGTCTTGCAGTTAGTGTGTTGATGATGTACTGTCTGTCTTATCATGTATGATCACAAATTAAGCAAGTCAGGTTCCCTGGGTCAGCTTCTCTGTTATCCCTATTGTCAGTGTGTACAGCAGATTTAATACTTTCTTGATTTTATTGTGATTACAGCATGTTCAGTTAATTATTACATTCAATAAAGTAATATGTTTTTGATGTCTTCCATGCTTTGGCTCTTTGTTAGTTTATGACGTTAACCTGTTTGAGCAGCTTCTCCCTCTCCTCCTGGGGTGAGCCCAGGCTCTTCTGCTCTGCCACCATGGAGTCACGCTTTGCCTCCAGTGCAGACAAAGTCTCATGAAGCCGCACCACTTCCTGTTTTATCGGTGAGTGGGCCAGATCCTGCACAGAACAAAATGTCAGCGAAGACATCTTAAACTATTACTAAATGTGGAGACCTCCTGACCTCTGACCTTACATACTGTAAAATTCATATGGGGATCTAAAACTAGTTTAGTTTCTAAAATGGTTAATGGATTTTCCCCACTTCAACTATCCATTTTCTGTTGCTTATCCAGGCCCAGGCTGTGTTTGATGATTGAATAATGATAGCATTAGGAATGACTGTTATATATGTAAACATTATAAACATATCAACATGTGTTGGCTAGAATGACTGTGTAACAGGTATTAAACTGCACACAACTCACTGCTTCATAGTCCTCCTTCCTTGTTGTCAGAATGTCCAGCTCTTCCTGAAGAACAGTTAGCTCCTACAAAACAAACACACAGGTGAGGCGAAGAAGAAAATAGGACATGGTCTTTTACTTACGTACATGGTGCCACAGACACTGACAGTGGTAAACTACAGTATGAGTAATATTATAAATGTTATGAGAAGTGGCATTACTATTGCAGTGCCATGGAAAAGTTACACTTCTAAAAGAATAGTGCTGCTACTAATGTAATAATACAGAATGCAGATTGTTTTCTCATAGGTTCACTGCTAACATTTCATCCTGTCAATAGTTGATATTAATCCAGTTCTGGCTAATGACTGTCATTTATTGGCAGGGTTTTTCCCCCCTCCTTCATTCCACACTGAAAGATGACTCTTGATTTATCACTTTGTGCAGTGCGGATGATCATTTAAAAACATTTGGTTGCAGCTCAGAAGGTTAAGTCATAAGGGGAGAATTACTGTGTAAGATTAGGATAAAACTTAACTCATACCTGTAGCAGCTCCTCATTGGCTGTTGCCATAGTGGCATACTTCTCTTGCTTTGCAGCTGGCATTGATTGGATAATCTCGTCAGCAACTTGTCTTTCCCTGCTAATCTTCTCTTCAGTTGCCCTGATGGCCTCCTCTATTCTGTGGAGCAAACATTAGTTCATACATTTAGTTTCATTTTTTGTTTTTGGGAGGGAGAAATGTGAAAATGATCCCAAGCCACATTCAATACCTGGATACAGGTAAAATAGATTAGATAGGCTAGATAAGGTGAAAGAAAGATAGATGGACAATGCAAGGATGGAAAGGGGGAATGATATACTAAGTATATACTCAGTATATAAACTCTTTCTTTCTTGCTGCAGTCTTTCTTACCTCCTTTACTTATCTTATTGCTTTATTTATTTATTTGTTTTTGACCTTGGACCTTGAGTCTGTAATAAAGTGTCATTACATTATCTAAAATTTCTTTCCTCTTCCAGTCTTTCTAAATTCATCTCCTGCCCTATTTCAATCAATTACTCATATTGCCCCTCCTACAATCTAATTCATACCTCCTTTACATCCTCCTGTTTTCCCTCCCATCTCCCAAAGCTCACCTTGCTTTCTAAACCTTCAATTACTCTCCCTAAGAACAGGTTATGTCATTTGAAGAACAATTTTGTTATTAATCCTATTCATTAATGCTCAGTATTACTGTATTTCTATCTTAAATGACAGGTATTTCCAACCAAGGCTTAAAGATACATCTAACCAAAGTAAGAAAGAAAGGAAGAATGTAAGACAGGCATCAACGGTTACCTAGCAGGAACAGTGTATGTCAGCCTTTAGGCTTTACAACAAGGAACAAAGTTCATTTGCTGAGCTGGCTGTGTCAGGGTAACAGCTGATAAAAAAAAAAAAATTCATCCCAGTGCCCGTAGAAGTACAGGTAAGTGTTGTCAGTTACTATTCAATACTATATAATAGTGGCAATATCATTAAATTCTGGTGGGGCAAATATTAACAGCAAAGAGTAATGTCAGTGACAAATGTTGCTCTCTGTGTTAAACATTATTTAGCTGACACATACTATGCGGGTTCATAAGAGGAACAGGTGCACAGGTGAACTTCAACATATTTGTTCCCTCCATGAAACACTCCAGTGAGGCTATATAGACATTAGCAGATTTGTCAGTCTGTTACATGTGTAGACAATAATCAAATAATAACCTGAATATTAAGGTTTTATTACCATTGCAGTGCAGCATTGAAATATTCTGCTTTAACATCTCTAGGAGGAATCAAACAGTATCATAATCTGATCATTCAGTTTTATAGTGCTGACATGGTTCTGTGTAATGTTCCTTCCCTGTTATAGCTACAAGTTTACATGACGGCCTTTATACTCAAGTTAGGGCCTGGGAAAATACATTGTTGTCTATAAGGTAATAAATAGAGAGCACAATACACCATGAAATATGTGAAATTTGAAAGACTTAAAGGGTATATCATTTTCACAGGGATCTATTTATAGAGCACTTTAACCTGCTCCACTGCTTACAGTGATAGTTGTACAATGAAAGCTCATTCAGTCTAGAAAATGGATTTTCCCCGACTATGCATGCTATTCTTTCTTTACATGTTTTTGTCACTAAGCTGTACTTCAGTTGTACAGTCAACTGATTTGCCCATCACCAGAAAATTAACCTACAACCATTTTGACATAACTTACTGTATTTATTTAAACAATTTGTCAATGCCAAATGCTCTGTGGTTCTACCTTCTCAAATGTGAGGATTTATTGCTTTAAAAATAAAATAAATAAATGATAGATATAAAAATAGTTTGTTGCGGCATAACAATATAGAAGATTAACAAGATTACTCTTCTTTGAGTGCACATCACTATATAGTTTGTGATAAACTGCAATTAACTTGGCAATAAATGCACACACTGGAATTGGTAAGAGAAATCTGTTTTACCCATAAAGGTCAACTCAAAGTGAGCTAAAAGCAAATTTAGCATCATCTGCAATAGTAAAGCTAGAAAAGTCGGTGTGTATGAGTTTGCAGGCTGTTGATGAGAGCTCAAACCTGACCAGGGTACACAGTATGTCTGTAGCATTTACTATTTGTTTTTCAGTTTATGATAATGGAAAGGTGCTGGCAACCCATCTCACTGTTGTGTCTGACTGCAGTGGTGGCCATGAAAATACTGGGAAGCATCGCTGAGGCTGTGGAAGAGGATGCACTAGTATGGAATATTATATTGCTTAGCATTTTTGATTTTGTAGCTCTGACATCACACATATTTTATGTTTCTTGTGCTCTAATTGTCTGTATGTGTTTATTCAGAAAAATAACTGTAATAACTATCCATCTATCCATCTGTCCATCTGTCAGGTAAAGACCAATAAGTCTCTGAAAGTCATTCCACACAGTGGAAACAGCTCCTCGGTTACTAAATTACTGATTGAGAAGAACCTGATCACTCTGAATGAGACAGACCGACAAGCCCTGGCTAGTTATCCCTCACTGGTAGAACTCCACCTGGATGATAACCTGGTGAACGTGATACCAGCCAGGTACTTCTCTGTGGTTCCACATCTCAGAGTGCTGTCTCTGTCCAGGAACCATATCAGCAGGTGAATAAGAAAGCAAATAAAAATGTTATCCGTGTCTAAATTCAAACACAATTTAAGTATGTTGTGTTCACACAACAAAGATGACAAAGTCAAGTGTACTAAAAACTGTCAGGATGCATACTATGTTAGCTAGATTTCAGAGTATGATGTTAGTGGATACTACTGCCTCATTTCATGAAACTTGAAGGACTGATGCACCAAGTACTGTTCCAGATGTAGGGGACATATTAACTACAATAATCACTACAACTGATCATAGTACTGTGTGTGTTGTTAAAGCCTGGATCCTGAGGCTTTCTTTGACCTAGATGTCCTGACAGAGCTGGACCTGTCCCACAACCTGCTTACAAGTCTTCCTCCACAGCTGTTCAGGGGACTAAACAATCTACAGGTAAAACACAAATTGTCCTTGGTCAACAAGAATTTATGAATTAATTAATCAATCAATCAATAAAACCTTTATTAAAAGACTCAAGGTCCATAAAAAGAAGACAATAAAACAAGAACAAGGAAAAGAAAAGAAGAAGAAAAAAACATACAGGATTTACATAACCAATAAACAGCAGTACCAAAACTCTGAAAAGGTGGACTGGTACCTGATATCACTCCAAGCCAAATTAACAGTCATCTTAATGATGTCATTTTATGCCGTTTAACCAGCAAATGAAGTTATAGATCAAATGTCTGATTGTAGCATCAAAAGTACAGATTCCCATCCTGCAGAACAACCCACTGGCACTACAACATCTTGGCTGTCTCAGCAAGATCCATAGGCAATCATTGTATGCAGCGTAAATCTTCTGTTTTAGTCCCCTTCTTGAAATTAATCTACAGGGCTGCAGTGTACAGAGAAAAGCAATAAGCTTTAAAGAGTCTTAGTTTGACTACATCAGAATACTTATGAAACCCACTTGCCAACGTATTCCCCTGTGCATACAAAATGCGGCATTGCCTGAGCTTGTCATCATCATCATTTAACTGATCTGTAATATAATGACCCAGATATTTAGTTCTGGCACAAACACTTAAAGCCTGACCAGATAAGTAAAAATCCGAAAACTACAGTGCAAGACAGACACACATTCCCCCTACTGAGGCTTTTCACTTCCTCCCAAAATCAGTAGTATCCCTGCAAAGCAATTTTTCAGCTCTCAATACTTGATCATGTTTACAGATATAAGGAACTGCATATTTATATTTAGCATTGGTATGTTTTTTTATAGTCCAACACAGGACCATGTCCAGGCTTACCAGCCTTAACCCATGCCTTGCATGTCATCATGCATGTGGTCACATGCCTCTTCACAGTATGTGACCACATGTTTATTCCAACCTGGCTTGATGCAATGAGACCTACCAGAGTGTTTAACACAGGGTCTGCTCGCTTCATACAAAACATCTACAATACAACTGTACATAGTACAGAGAACATTTCTGTGATAGTTACAGTATCATTACAATTAAGATCAGGACATAATAACTGTACATAGTACAGAGAACTTTTCTGTGATAGTTATCATTACAATTAAGATCAGGACATAAAATGGCATTCACAGGTGAAGGTAATCTACTCGGTGAAGCATCAGTTCTCCAAAAACACAGCAGTATACTTTCACTTGAGAGATTAGCCCAATATCTCTGGAGGACTCACCACATCAGGAGTCACAACAAAAGGAATGTGGTCAGACATAGATGCCTCATATAAAATTTCCACAGATTGCAGGCTAGCACAAACATCAGCAGTGCTAAAACAGTGATCAAGCCATGATGTAGAATGCCATGCATCACTTATATAAAAATAACTATCTGCAGGAAGTAGCTGTTGACTTGACAGTATATAGTTATTTTGATCACAAAAGTGCAACAACTGTTTAGCAAATAAGGAATCACTGTCTGATATATCATCAATTAAAGTCACCAATCATGAAAACATTTGTACTATTATTAGCCAAAATAGAAGAACTTACTGTATAAAGGCCAATCTATCCATATATAAATCATTCTGCACAGTCTCAAAGGGAGTGTAAACATTTAAAATAATAAAATCTTTGCTCTAAATTTGAAGTCAGCTTCAGTCCTTACAGCATTAAAGACCAAGCCCAATTTTTTATGCCACATAATGGCCACAGCACCAGAGATTCCAACCTTCATAATCCTGTCACTAAAGTCCACTGTGGTCTCTCCAGCCCTGTCAAAATTAGGGTTAAAAGAGTTAAGCTTCTCCAGATCCTGCTTGGATGACATGGGTTGTATCGGTCTGATTACTATTTCAGCCTTACACTGTGAAGTGTTTCCTCTCCCAAGTTGTTTAACTCACATAATACAACTTTAATGATAACGTTTGCATTGCAGTTGATGACAATGGGAGACAGTACTGTATAATGTTTTCATTCAATGGGCGAGGTTCTTTTCTCTTCAAAAGAAAAGAAATAGCACATTGTTACCCTAACCAGGTAATATGGTTTTTCAACCAGAAATCTAACAGTGTTAACCAGGTAATAATAATTAATAGGAATTGCTCCAAACTGCCCCTATCAGGTGCTGAACCTACAAGAAAACCCCTGGAACTGTTCCTGTCCACTGCTGATCAGCATTGAAGAGGTCATTGCTAACACTGGTAATCATTTTCATTAGACAGTTTTAAAGTTTAGTAATATGATGACTTCTGACTCACTTATCTTATCAAGGCTGGTTTAGAACATCAGATCTATTTAACTCCTAATTATCTACTGGTGGGTAAAAACTAAACTAAAATGTTAATGAAACATTTTAATCTGGGGCCTTCTGGTTCAGACTCTGCACGGAGAGGTCACAAATATTCAGTTCTCTATATGTTTATGCATTAAAATACAAGACACAACCAAACAACATTGGAACAGCTAATAGTTGAGTTTGATGCCACAAAGATATTCTTAAATATCTGCAAATCCATCATTAGGCCCATAACAATATGAATAATTTTCCCTCAGTCCCTGTTGATGATTTATTTCTCATAGCAGGTTAATTGAAATCCACTCCTCCTTCATTAATCAAATGGCTTCTACATGTGATGTCTGGCTCTACAGTGGGACCACAGGCCATCTGTGCTTCTCCAGAGAAGCAGGCTGGAAATAGTCTTTTGACTGCCATAGCTGTGTGCTACCCATCACCATCACATACCCTCACTACAGACCCAGAAAAAGCATCGACACCAGTCAACTCTCAACAGTTTTGGGGCAGATCCACTATGCTGAAGACTGCACTGCTGCCAAGCCAGAACCACAGTATCAATATAGGTAGGATAAATGTACAGCATGTTTGTGTGTGCGAAAGTGGGGCACAAAGGGACTGAGCGAACACATGTGCTACGCACTGCATGTATTTTAAATCATTATGTGGCAGTCAGTGTTGATACTGTGGTGGTCCGTCGCAAACAAGCCAATGGAAACACTGCAGTACCAGTCAAATGTTTGAAAACACAGTTCGGATTGCTTTTGACTGTATATTTGAGAAAACAAATGTTAATGTTTAATTATCTAACAAACTAACCAACTTCTCTTTGTCTTCCCTCTCCAAACCCCAACCAGACCAGAACCTTGTGCTTGGAAACGCATGGAAGTTCACAGCATTTGTTGCAGCCTTGGCACTGGCTACCTCAATGCTCATCTTATGTGCCATCAAGGGGCCTTCCTGGTATAAGCTCTTCCACAACTACCGTCACCAACAACTAGAAGAAGAGGAGGATGAGGAGGAAGCCACTGTATCAACAGCCTTCTCAGAGATGGGGAGATACCTGAACCATCAAACATTCACCTTCAAACAAGGGAACGGGCAAAAAGAGGAGGAGGAGGAGGGATATTTTGAGGATCCATATATTCAGAGGGAAGTATGACATACAGGAGAGGGGAATTTAGCATAACAATGAGAAAACACACAGCAGCTTCAGTGACGAAGAGGAGATGACTGCCTCTCACAACAATATCTGTCACTTCACTTTTGTCACACCTAAAAATGAAGTGCACACTGGGGGCCTGTTATACTGTATGAAACAACAGAATAATTTTGTAGTTGGTATATCTAACTGCTTAGTAATACGATTATAGTTTTTTCTAGCACACGTCTGACAGTTTCATATAATTATTTAGCTTATTTATAAATGAGATTCGTTGTTTTCTTTGCACTGTTAAATACTATCAGTCTAAGAGTTAGGAAAGCGTTGTCTTGGCTCTATGGCTATTACTGTGGGTTTCCATGTCTGTGAGATATTTATCTTCCTGCTGCTATCTAACATGCGCCATCTTGCTGCTCCACAGTCAGCTTGCTGAAGTGTCCTTTTCACCTCTAAGCCAGTATAAGTGTATGTTTACACAGCTATTAAGTACTTGTTATATGAACAGGCTGAAAACAACCACTGAATTTATGTAATGTTTGACTATTATTTATGATGTACAGTATATCAAACTGGTTGACTTTTGGTACAGCAGACTTTGAAACTGAGACCAACCAGCTCCTCTTCTCCACCTATCTCTCCTGCACTGTGTGTGTGTGTGTGTGTGCATACTATGGCTATACAGCAGTAAATTTTCTAGTACAGCCAATATTAAATATATCTGTATGAAACTTGATTTCCTAACATAAAGCTCTGTGCAAATGATGTCATGCAATATGATTATGTTTTGAGAAAAAAACAATAATAAACACAATTAAACATCCACAAGGAGCTTACTTTTTCCTCTCAGTGAAGATGCTATCAATACTTTCAGCCTCTCTGTCATTCTGGGCTTTCAGCTGGGGTGGAAGAGAGAAAGGAACATGGAAGCAATAAAAGGACATTAACATTTTACTAACATTCGGGTACCCACAGTACTCCTGCTTAATCACATCTTTGGCTTGATTTGGGTTTTAGGCAGGAGGTGTCACAATGTTATCATACAGCTCACATAGGACTTACAACTTTGTATTCGTTGGTCATTTCCTCCATCTCTGTGTTGGTGTTAAGCTTGTCCACCAGCTGGAAATACAGTGAATAATAATAATCAAAACTACTGTACTCAAAGTGTCTAAATAAGGGTGGCACAGTCCATTGTAAACCATTTGAGACTTTTCAAGCACCTTGTATTATAATGAGACATCTTCTGGAGTATACTGTATGTCTAATATTTAAAAGAAGTTTTGTTATCTTCCAAGTATATGAACTTAACACACAATCAAACATTTGCCATCTTATACAAAGCATTTTCCTTCACTGCCTGTAATTTGTTTCAGGTAATCCATTGGTGTTAGCATCCTTAGTAAGTCATTTCAGATAACTATATAAGCTAAATACCTACACTGTACAAACATTTGCTCTTTCATTGCTGGCAATGTCCAGAATGTACAAACTAAAGTTTATTTTCTAGTAGCTGCTCACTGAAAATAATTACAGACAATGGCTAAAATGTTTAGTTTATAGCGGTTTACCATGTTGTGGTCAGCAAGTTGGCCTTGTAGATCCTTAATCTCTGCAGCCAGGCCATCGGCTCTGAAGTGGAAAGAACACAAAGGGTTGAAAATTTGGGTATTTCTTTCATGTTATGCTACTGTTCATAATATTCATCCATTCTATCATTTATTCTATTAGGAGGGCCCTCATATTTGCATGTAATTTTGTAATACTATGGAGCAAACTAGATTCCATTTTCTTTTGTCCAACATTTCCTGACTGTCAAAGGGAGTTTTCTGTTAAAACATGCTGCTTCAATTACTTAACATGACACAAATGTACGATGGCTGAGCCTGCTAAGCAATGTCAAATAAATCATGACAACATCTCATCTTTTCTTATCAATATAGTCTTCTGGTAGATTCGGTACGTGTTACTGTGTACTCTTATCATTTATACACAGAATCTATTTTAGTAGCACCTTATTATGACTTTCTCATTTTATTTTAGGTTAAACTTTATAACAAGGTTTAAATTGTTTAACTGAGTCTGTGGATCAGTGCACACCACAGGCATTTTTTTGCCTTTTTTCCTGGTTATCTTCTAATGTGTATCTTCTAATAATAAGTGTATCTTCTAATAATTACAGTATGAATATGTGAAGGCTGTGGAATGCAGTAGGCCTAAATACAGCTGGAGAACACATTTATTGACTGTATAGCAAAATGACAACCCTCAGTACAATACTTTGAAAATATACCTTTGTATATATCTTAAAACTTCCATCTATGTGTATATATTCACACAAGTACTTTATTTTTATTTTTGATGTTCCTAATGCACATTCCTTTTTCTTGTTTGCACATTCTTCTTCTTTTCTTGTTCTCTCATTCCTATCTTGTTCACTCATTGCTTTACGGGAGAACGTTGTACACGCACATTGAGAGTCACTGTACCAGAGTTAAATTCCTCGTGTGTTCAGCACACCTGGACAAAAAAGCTGATTCTGATTCTGATTATTACATTAGTGTGTGCCGTGCGAGCATACACACCAGTAAAAGCACCACTCACCTCTTCTCATAGGAGAGGTAGACAGACTTCTCCTTGTTGTAGTTGTCAATCTCTCTGCACATTTTGCTTGTCTCGGTGGTCAATTCATTGATTTTACTCCTGCAGCCAAACAACAGCACAAAGGAATTTATAGTCCACAGTAATTTATAATCAATATTCTTCATATAGGTATGTTTATAATATATAGCTATAATACTGACATGCTGATTTTTTTTATATTGTAATTTTTCTGTTATCTCTGTCTATTCTGTATATATTACATCAACGGCACATCTGTCTGTGTTTTCCTGTTTTTTTTTCCCTTGTTAATTGTATTGTTCTTTGATTTTACCATATTTAGATTATTGTGTTGAAAAACTGGGGAAATACATACAAAAGTACACTTCCGCCATTGTACATATTGCAAAAAAGGGCTATAAGAATTGTACATAAACTTGGATATCGGGATCACACTAATGCATCATTCATACAGTCTAAGTTGTTAAAATTTTTTGATTTAGTGGAATATAAAACTGCGGTGTTCATGTATAAAGCTAGGAACAATTTATTACCAGGTGGAATTCAAAAATTGTTTAATGAAAGAGAAGTGGGATATAATTTAAGGGGTCAGTTAAATTTAAAAATTCATGCCATAAGTACAACTAAAAAAAGATTTTGTATTTCTATAAGTGGTGTAAAATTGTGGAATAAGCTAAGGGAGGACTTAAAATATTGTACTAGCATAGAACAGTTTAAATATAAATACAAAGGGTTTGTAATGCAAGATATATGAATGAGGAGTCGTGATGGCGGATTAGACTGGAGTATTGTTGGTGTGGTGTATGAAGATAATATTTTATGTATAGACACTGAATATAAACTTGTGATTTGAATGGTAATGTTAAAGGGAATTTAGTTTTGTATTGAGAAACTTAGCAATGTGCTTTTGGAACAGTCAGTATAGGAAGTATTGCATGTAGGATGAGGAGTATGATGAAGTGAGGGTATTATAATGGGATGAGATAGACCGTGAGCTAGTTGGCTTGACGCCAGACGTTGGGTGCATGGCGTGGCTGGTCTATGTTTAATTTAAGGGGCTGGTCGATGAGGAAATTGGTTTGTTTGGTATGTACAATGGATAGGGTGGTGATAGGATGGATATATGGTGGTTGTTGGGGACTGGCACTGCTGTGGGTCTGAGTGTCCGGTGTTGGGCTAATGGTACCACGGTCTAAGAAAGGGGGTAGGACTAGATAAGTGTATACTTCTTCCTACTCCCTTTCAAGCATGTACTATTGGAATGTTGTGATGTCTTATGTGTATTGGTTGAAATGTCGAATCAATTTTGTTTTTCGCAATATCAATTTTCTTAGTTTTACATGCTTGGAAGAAACTTAAATAAATAAATAAAAAAAGTTCTGGAGAGTCTCTCCTTGTCTGAACTGAGGTCTAAGGATAGAGAATTTGTGCTTGATAGTTTGTGAAGCTCTTTCAGACAAGTTTGTGATTATGGGCAATGTAAATGAAACTGACTTGTCCCAGCCTGACTATATTATCACTCTATAGTACCACTTGTTCATACAATATTTTAATGGATTTAGCTCAGACACCCCTGGTATCTGAAAAAAAAAATCCATGTCCAAATCAAAATTTGTATGAGCTACTATCATAACTTAATGTTTGAGTAAAAATATAGCTGTTGGAAAGTTAGCATGCATTACCTGAGAAGGCCCAAGTAGTAGGACTTATCCAGAATCTGTCGTTGAGGTCCTTTGGAGGATGAAGAAGGTTGTGGAGAGAAAGTTGAGATTTGTAATGCTGTACTGTTTGTTTTAACATGTGTAGCACTAAATCTAAGTGTAGCACTTAAGTCTAGCATGAAAATGAAAATGTATTAACATGCAAATCTCTTCATGTGAAAGGCTGATGTCACTTCAAACCTACCTTTCATGCCAGTCTTCATCCCACTGAGCCCCTGTTGAGTGATAGGTCTGTCAGTCACTTTGATCTGTGGTAAGAGGACACCAGGGCTCAGGGTACTGCCTCTCATACCAGGATGCCCACTTGTACCTGGAACCATCTGTATCAAAAATGAAAGATTATAAACCCTGTAAGACTGGAATTCAATTAGCTCCTTTTAAAAAACATTAGTAATACAGGTTAAGGCTAGTTAACAACACTGCAACATCTAATGGCAGTCCCATTCACTGAATGTGTAATGAAATGCTGCCTTTGTAACTATAGGCAAATGTAAAATTCTAGCAACAACTTTGCTTGTCCTAAAAACAGTTTGTTTGAGAATTACAAATACTAAATAAAAGTTATGGGAATGTCGTTCTGCCTGAAAAAGCTTTTCACACATTATTGTTTAGTTATTATTTATTTATTTTTTAAGCAACAAAGCAAACCGCTTTCAAAGGTTAAGCTGAACTTTTTAGCCAGTCATTAGGTTCTGAGAAAGGAGAGGGTTCATGTCAGATCCCACACTGACAAACATGGAGAAAAGTGAAGCAACTGGCCATTTAATCACTAAATACTCTAATATAATCTGATATTTGTAGCAGGCTTGGGAGTGAAATCAAATACATATTAAAGAAAAAAAACTATAGAAAAAAAGAAGCTTCATTTAGCACTCCTATGTGCAAACAAGGTGCAAAATTGCTATTGTTTTCCTCATTAAATTAGCACAGATTCCACTGATCGGTTTGCTAAAATATGCCAGTGTAGCATATAAACATGGTAATCAGGGGCCAGGACAAAGAGATGTTTTTGGTCTTTCAAACTATCACTATTCTAGGCGATGTTGCTCTGGCTTTACCAGAACACAATATAATATCGGGAAAAGGATTTGCATCTCAAATCTAAAGTGCTTCCAAACTGCAGCTGACTTACCCCAGTTGTGACACGTATAGCTGTAGGAGGAGGTCGGAAGGCCGTTGAGGGTCTTCCAGTACCACTGCGGCTCACTGGCCGACCCATGCCCGAGGGAGGCCGCTGGCTCATGATGGTGCTTGTTAGTATGCCTGCAGGGTGAGAACAGGGTGAGAACAGGCTGGAAGCGACCAAAGCTTCCTTGTGACTGGGCGTTTGCTGGTTTGAATCCTGAAGCAGAACACCTAAACCTATAGTTCCCAGTCCTTGTCTGGGCCCCAGCACTATGTATTTTCTATTTGATCCTACTCTGCCCACAACAGATTTTAAATGGCTGAACACATCTGATTCAGTAGCACAGCGTGAGTATAGCAGGGAAAGACAGAAAATATAATGCTGAGGCTCTTTGGACACACAACATAGACCCTTGGGGTGGAAGTGAGTAATGCTATTTGACGAGAAAAATTAAGATACAACCAACTGTGATGCCAAAGAGTAACTCCTTATGTTATTGTTACACATGTCCCATATAATATATAACTGTGCGCACGCTGACATAAAAGAATAATCGTTTCTTTGGCATGGCACTGTTGACCAGCACTGACCTAACACTATCTTTTGAAAGTCCCAGATTCTGGAGTGCAAACTCTTTTTACTTTAGTTGCCGTTATTGTCCGTGACAGCGTAAGCGTTAGCTATGTAGTATTTCGGCTAACTGACGCTATCTAGGACAAAGATGGTCATATAAACTGTCGCTAAACTCAGCTGTGTTGAAGCTGTAATAGGAACACGTTCGCTCTCTAGTTTACCTAATGCCATAAGACGACTTTAGCATTAGCCTTAGCTAGTTGCCCCAGTGTATACTAGATAACCCAGCGAGTGTTTTGTATTTTAAACAGAAGTCCTTTCCAGCACAGCACAGGTATCTAAAATTTCCTACCTACACGGTTGTACAGCTAGGAATAAACCAGTAAAAACAAAAACCAGTAAGACTGAGATTAAGATAAAGTCAGCAACTTGTTGACGTTACCCCAGTAACCATCTTCATCATCATCATCATCTTCTTCTTCTTCTTCTTCTTTGTCGTCTTCGTCTTCTTCTTCTGTTGTTTAATGGCGGTTGGCAAACAGGTTTAAGTGCATTACCGCCACCTTTTAGACTAGAGTGTGGATCAGAACGGCCCCGATCTACTACTATAACAAAATAAACTCACTCAGTTCACATTATATTATCTTGCTTAGCCATGTACTCCCTAAAAACCGAAGAAGTGCTCTAACCGCCTTTTTCTCTTCAAATTAATAGTGGTTAAAGCCTTTACTGCTGCCGACCAACAGAGGACTTGCACCAGTCAGTGGTTTGGTTAAATATGAAGGGATCCCATTGAATCCATCAGAGTGGAAGTGAGGCTTTTTTTCTCTTTTGTTTGAGTTGATTTGATTTGTTAAGTTGATGTGCGGCCCAAAATTGAAGCAATGTGTTCATCTGCTATAGAAAATTCCACAACTATGAATTTCACACTGTCAATGTAAAATAACTCAAAATACAGTATGTGGGGGTAACATTAGGCTATATAATTCTGAATTGGCTATAATACATCCCCCTGTTGTCTTTCATTTCAGACACTTTTGAGTTATTTTACATTACACTAAGTACAGTACAGTAGTAGAGTAAATGCACTAGTTACTTCCCATCAATGCTTATCAGCATACTTTATTTGATTGACTTTGACTGGACAAAGTGAATATGAAATTCCACCACGCTCCTGCAAGGGGCGTAGTTCTTACCAGGCAGGCAGAACTCAGCCTAACACTGGTGATGTGCAAGAAAATGACTGTCTAACTGTGTGAGCGCACACAGCGTGTTAAACATGGATTGGCAATGTATGTATTTCCTCCTACTGTCACCCTTATGAACACCTGAAAAACTGTGACATAATGTAAAATCTGTGTGCTGAGAAAATAGGGTTAAAATATACTGAGATTTAGGATTGTGCAGGCTTTCTAAAATATGCTATAAACACTTGATTAAAGACTGAATGGGGGTCCCACTGATGTAATTGGCCCAAATATATTACATTTCTTTCATTTTAAGACCCACTAGAAGTCACTAGCTCATTGTTTGATTTTGCATAATTTAAGAGCTGTTTCCAAGAGAGATCATATCTCTCCCATATTAGCTTCTCTCCACTGGCTCCCTGTAAAATCCAGAACAGAATTTAAAATCCTTCTCCTAACATACAAAACCCTTAATGGCAAAGTTCCATCATATCTTAAAGACCTCATGGTGCCTTATCCTAACAGAGCACTTCACTCTCAGAGTGCAGGTCTACTTGTGGTTCCTAGAGTCTATAGAAGTAAAATAGGAGGCAGAGCCTTTAACTGTCGAGCTGCTCCCTTGTGGAACCAGCTCCCACTCTCAGGGAAAAAAAAATGTCTAGGCATGGCATTTGTTTCTTGTTTTACTCCTGCGATAAAACCATACAAATGTTCATCTTTAAATGCTGAAGAGAGTAGAACAAGCAGAGAAGAGTAGTAAAGTCAGCAACCTGACTCACTGATATTGGTTTACATTTGCTAACCTTAGCCACTACAAGCAAGGTTGCTGGTCATAATATAGCCCATGCAAGCCTTTGTCTGTAATTTGATTTGTTTTGGTGTTTAAAGCTTTCATTTGTACAAGGAAAAAAAAAAAGTTTTTTCATATTTCAAACGTTAGTCTCCCATTAGAGCTCCAACACATAGCCACAGGTACACTCACTCAGGTATTTTCACACCTACTCACACACAGATCATTATAGCACTGAGGAAAGAACTGAGTTAAACACAAAGTAGTTTTAGTCCATTTTATTTCATGTTTAATAATCACACCACTAATTAACAAGTAATCACAATAAACACTTTTCCCAAACCAAAAAATTTAATGAAAAAAAAAGCAGAAAACATTGAGGAGGTTCTGCAAATCACTATCTAATACATCCCACTGTTGTTTTTCAGCATGCTCTGCAGGTTCAGGTGTTTATTAGCTAGTGTTACACTTATACATTTGAGTGCAATAGCAGTACATGAAGCTTTATGATGCTTCTTGGACAAATTACTGAAGAGCATTTATTATGCAAGCCAAACCTGGCAACTACAGTTAGTCTTTATGTCAGACAAGGATGTATTAGGCTCTCAGTGTGGTGCTCTTAAGTAGAATATGTAGAGACCAATATGTTTTGATATGCAGTACTCCCAAATTACAGGCCTATGCAATGACCTAAGACTTTCTAAGTGTTATGCTTTTCCAATCGCACATCCTTGGAGAAAATCCACGACAGAGTTTGTAAAACTGGCTGTCACAAATTAAAAGTTTAACCCCTTCGAACATGAGTGCACAACCATCATGAGGTTATAGCAACACAACGATAAATACATTTACAAAAGTGTTGTGTCTTTAGTACATTATATCTCAAAACACATTCTTTCATTTCAGTAGCCTCTTTTAAAAAGGCCAACTTTTTCAATTTGTCATACTAATAATCAGAACAATAAAAAAACACTCTCTCCTTAAAACCATTTAAAGTACTTGGACAGAGAAACTGCTCTGAAAATCATTGAAGCCCCCTACCTACCAACCCCCCCCCCCGATGCAGTTGCTGTTTTGTTCTTGTGTTTTGGGCCATAAAGTGTCTCTCATCTTAAGAAGCGGTAACTCTGGGTTAAAACCACAGCTAGAAAAAATGGTCACTGTCAGGCACAAGAAAAATTTCAGCTGGGCGACAGCTGTGGTGCACACACAGCAACTCAACTATTTCATGACAGCTTCTCTTTTAGCCACAATCAATCCTCAGCTGGCAGAAAACATCTAAATATTCCCTCTCAAACACAGCAAACAGGACAGAAAATACTGGACTTTGTTTGCCAGCTGGCAAGAAACACAACTCCAAATTAATGTTGATATAATGTGACTGATAGATGTGTAAATAGGCAATATATTTGCCTCATCAAATATATAAGGTGATAATATTTTAATGTTGGGTTTGCAGCTCAAAAAAGTCAATGAATGCAGGTTAAGGTAATGACAAAAGTATTGCTTTGGTAAAGGTACTGGTTATAGAACTGCAAGTAATACCCAACTTTAATGCAATAATAGCTCGCAAGAGGATAATGAGCAGAATGTAGCTGAAGTATCACTGACATAATTAAATGAATAAAATAAAAGATTAAAAATGCCATCCTATGAGTAGTATATCTCTGTATGTTTGAGTCGTGTAATCACTGTATACAAATCTGTGGAATTAAATCATGATCCTGTTGCTGAGACTAGCTGAAACTAGAAAGTTGTAATACCTAATTCTACCAACTCAATGAAAATCATCATTTGAGTAACAACACATCAACGTATCTAGGATTGCCCCAGAGACATACCTATGGTACCCAACCACAGCGCTGAGTCATAAATGCACAGGCTTTCAGGTGCACAGACTACACACTACTTTGATTTAGAGAATTTCTTCTTTTTATGTCATTTTTTTTATCAACTAAGATTTTCACTGTCTTGAAGCAGTTATAGGCATGAACCTGCATCATCCTAGTTCACTCTAGTATCTATGTATGAAGGACAGGAGGCACATATGAGACACACAGCTCCTTTGACTTCAGACACATTTCCAATCTGACAACATCTCCCTCTGGGTTGCACGCTGCACCTTAACACTTCTCTAATTCTGCAAACTTCCTTTACCACATTTCATAAATTATAAGATTTTAACATCTTGTCATTTTGCCACACACCTCTAAAGCTTCAATTTCACCATTCTTGCAACACCTCATTCCTCACTTTCTTCCTCCCTCTCAATGCCATCGCTTTCTTCTCTGTGTGTCTTGGTTTACAAAATCCTGTGCGTTTCTATTGGAAATAAAGACCATCCACTGTATTGGTTATACAGGAAGAAACGTACAATAAATACAAAAGCCCTTGTTAAACTAAGAGGAAAGAAAAAGAAAACTTGAGAAAAACAAAATAAGATCTGAACAGAAAGCAAATGCACAATTTTGTCAATCAAACACATCATCACAAACACAGAATAAAGAGTTAAACAGCCTACTTGTTGTCTAGCTATTTTGTTTGTCAGTTTGTTTATGGTGAGTGTTGGTGACAAGAGACGTGATGAAGAACACTGAATTACTATGACACTACTGAAGCAGAGAAGAAGTGGTTACTGGGAACAAACAGACCCTGCAGTCATGAGAAAAAGAGAAGCTAAGCTGTGTGACAGGAACCATAGGAGAGTCAGAGCAGGTTTTCACATTGCTCAGGGGACAAATGAATTTGCTTCTGCTGTTGTTTGTGGTGCGGTGGAGAAGTGATGGCAGGTCCGACAGAGCAAAGCCCACCACCAGGCTCCGATTAGGTGAAACCCAATCATTCTAGGCCAGCTGGCCTGGAGAGGATGCTACCAAATATTACTTCACATAGATTGCCATCAATGTCCACACAATGTCTATACAGTCACTTTAGCCAAATATAAAAGATGAGGGCAATGGCGCATACTGATGAGCTTAGATGTGATAAAAGAGGCATGACGTTGATATTAGAGTGGCAGAACCATTATATGTGTCAATAACAGATTTAAGATTAGAGGAGTTTTCTGAACTTGATGGGTGCAAGGAGTGTCAGGAACCTGTTACACTGCTGTAGCCCCCTTGGAGATGCAGCAAGGAGGGGGCAGAGGGGGAGCAAACACAGCTTGCAGGAGCCAACGATTTAATGAGAGAAACACTGCAAGGAGTCTGGTGGCGGAAATGGATGAACTGTGGGGGATGGGTCTGTTGTTGTCCTGGGGGGGTTGTCCAGGTGATGATGTCAGCGCCATGGTCCGTGCGAGAATGAGCATTCTTGCGGAGGTTGAGCTTGAAGCACTCAATCTGCAGCAGATAGGTTGGAAAGAAAAGGGGAAGGGGATAAGGTAGAAAGAAAAAAAAATATATATATATATATATAAACATGGTAAGAAGGGGGAGGACAATGAGGTGATGTAGGGAGGTTGAGATGAGAGGAAGGCAGAGGCACAGCAGAATTAAATGCCTGCAAGATAAGAAGTCAAAGATGATGATGTGATCAGGAGCTGTTGACTGCAGACGACATGATGAGTGAAATACAGAAACATACATTAAAATGGCAGCCACAAAGACATCATGATGGTTAATTTCAGTTAAGGAGAAAAATCTCTCACACTGTCACATGCAGTTGTTTCAAATATTTCTTGACAACAGGATACTGCTGGCCATCACTGGCACACGCACAAACTTACTTGTCTCTGGGATGCATGAGTCCAGATCCTGGGGCTCCTGGTGGCCCTTACTATCACAGGAAGCCCCGTCCTTCAGCTCGTTTTCCTGTGCAGCAGGGCTCCCAGCCAGCCCCGCATGGGAGCCAGGGTCTTGGGTGGGGACGCAACTCAGGGAGTTATCATTCCCCTCAGCCTGGGGCCCCTCATCCTAGAAACACATATCAGGGCATGTACTGTAAGTTGGTGAAGATGGGGAAGGAAGAAACTGGCTTTAAATTTGTATAACACATACAATACATTTCTATTGGTTTTTTTTTTGTAACAATGACAAAGTAAGAACATTTTCAGAATTTTTTTGGTTAATTTATTAAAAATAAAAAATGGATCTGCAAAGAAATTCTGTTGTTTTATTCAGTAGGAGTCCCTTTGGAACCAGGGTAAGTCTCTACAAGCTTTGCACACATGAATTTGGGCATTTTATCCTCTCAAGCTCCATCAGCTTCAGTTCTCCAGAGAGACTTCAGCTCTCCTGTTGTCACTGTCATTATCAGTTATTGAGTGTGGATGAATGGGCAAAAATGCAGTTTTATCCTCTTAAAATTAAATCTAACAATTCAATACAAAGTGTGAAAATTTCAAGGGGTCGGAATACTTTCTGAAGACATTGCAGTTCTGATTTACAAACACCTCAGGAAGACATTTTAGAGTCTAAACTTTAGACTGTGTCTGCAGGAATGTAGGAAGGCACAAGTGTGCTAAAATTGTACAAGATGCACATTTGCAAAATAATTTGAAAATGTATTTTCATTTTATTATTATGGGTTACTGAGTGTAGACTGATGGGCAAAAATGGCAGTTTTATGCATTTAAAATTAAATCTAGAACAAAGTGTGGCCAAAATGAATACTTTCTGGAGACACTGTATTCATATGAGGGACATGGTAGCAGTCATGCATTTCATGCATATAATGAAGGTGAGTCATGAGAAGCACAGTTTGTTGCCATCATGACTAATTGCAGTAAATGCCACTATGACTAGTACCATAAGTAAACTGTAGTTAGCCTTGGAAACACAACACAGCACTTTGCAATGTGCTCTATAATAAATATTAGTAAGTGTACTGTATCTAATTTTTCCTTTTTTACTGTTCGATGAAGCACAGACTAAAAGACATCTTCATGTGGGACAGTCTCACCTTGATGTTTCCTCCACTAGGTAAAAGGCTCACATTGTCCGTGGAGCCCACTTTGGACTGGGCCTTTTCCTTAAAGTTCACCTTGTGGGACTCAATCTTCACATCCCCACCACCTGCAGCACACATGGGTAGTCAGTCCGATGATCGTACACAAGTAAATCATCATAAATGTTGTTTATAACTGAATATGGCTTTTGATGTTAGTGACAGTGCTATCCAAGCATAATTTTCATAAACCAAAAATTTATGTTTACTGTAAACAACAATGGTGTTTCTCAATTCCCACATTTATCCAAACGTTTTTAAGACCCTGTCTGATTTTATGACTAAAACATTCAAATAAAAATTTAAAAAAGTTTAATAGCTTGAATTCCAATGTGGCAGGGTCACTAAAATTTGTACCATACATAAGGATATACAATATGCACCTTCAGTTGTAGTTTTACTAGATGCACCCTAGCAAACTAATGAAATACAACAGCAATCATTCATATTAAGAGGGTGGACTAGATAATGAAAACACCTAATGGCATAACGCAGTACATTTCAACAGCATCAGTGCTGCCTCCAAAATGACCATAAAGTTGAATCAACACCTCTCTAAAGCAGTTTGAAACTGAACATTAGAACTTTTGCAGCACAACTGCTTTTAAATTAATTTAAATTTCCCAGCTCACCAGGTTTGTGTTTAATGTTGTCCTTGGAGCCGCATTTTGAGGTCACCTTACTCACATCTACCTTCTTGCTGAGTATCTGCACCTGTCAAATGTCACACAGTTAAACATATATATTTTGACCCCAATTACACATTGAATTATCACCATCAGATGATAACCAGTGATGACAAAGGAGTTAAAGACAAGAACTGATTATACTGTATGTTGCAGTGAAATAATTTGGCACATGCTGTAGGGACTGCAGGGGAAAAAAATCAGACACTAAAAGAAACAGCACAGGACAGGACAGGACAGTGACACTTCAGAAAAAGATATCCCAAAATCCAACCAGACAGCCATATTGAAGACAAAGCCCATCAGAGTCCTGTGGTATTTGTTTGCCTGAGTGGTGTTTAGTAAGTTAGTGACAAGGAAGGACAACGCAGGAAGAACTGAAGGAGGCAAAGGACTGTGAAGCAGGTCCTGGGCAAGGGCTGGAACATTAGGCTAGCTAGCATGCTGTCCAGTAACGTCCACTGAACTCCAAGAAGAGTACTTTGTGTTGGTGGCCATCAGTATCTTGACTATAAGGGCCATGTACAGCTTACTCATACTGGTGTATAAAGGACTGACCTTTTTTTAGGAGCGAACAACAGACAAAGACACAATATTCTGTCTTTGCTCTGGTGTCCATTCTAGTTATTTGAGTTGAAATGTTTGACTGATTGGCTGGTACACATGAGTACTTACATTCCCTCCACCAGGAACATGCTTTATATTGTCCTTCGAGCCCAAGCGTGAGGTGATGTGGCTGAAGTCCAGCTTTTTGGAGACTATCTGAACCTATACAGACACAGCATAGCAGCAAAAGAGCAGAGGAGGGCAGGGGAGAGGAAGACAGGAAAGGGAGCGAAAGGAGTAGAGGAGAAGTCACCATTGCAGGTAGGATTAAAAAAGAAAGGACAGAAGGTGGGAGCAAGGGTCACCTGAGCAAAATCAGCTATGAATATTTTAACTATTTAAAGGACAATATGTTTGCTATCAGCTGCTGGGCAGTTGATAGTCTGAAAAGAGAACTTTTGATCTGAATAGTGACAGAAGTCTGAAGAGACTAGAAAATGTTCAAATACTGTTTTACCCAAGTTTGGAAAAAAAGAAACGCAGAAGGCCACACTGAACCTACTCCATAAAGCACACACATGCAACACAACATGTAAACATTTGTCCCCGCTCAGGAGAATACAGCATGTTTAATGGAGACACGTATACAGTATGTCTATTAGCATACCATAACTAAACTAACTGAACTCTGATGAGTGACAAAGCCAGCATTCCTTGGATTATGACAAGTTAGACTACTGCTGCTAACAGACTGATTCTAACACACAAGGGTATGTATCCAAGTTAATTATTAGAAATGTTGTTGTTGTTGTAGGTGTGTTTGGGGTGGGGGGGCTTTAGATGTTTTAATGCATGCTCACCCTCACACACACAGATTTCTTAGCAGTGGGCCACTGCTCCTTTCACACAAGAAAATCAAACAGTAGAAGTCACACACAATATCTGTGGATTTCAGTGTTGTAGTACTTCAGAGCAGGACTTGGACTTGAGTCTGACTCAAGTCCAGATTTTCAGGACTCATGCCTCAACTTGGACTTGAGCACTGACGACCCGGACTCGGACTTGAGCATAGACTGGATATGGATTCTGACTTTTTTTTATTTTGTAATAGACCATAATTATATGGCATATTAAAACCTGCTCACCGGCAACATGCTGTATCCAGCACACTTCCACTGAAGCGTACTCCACCTTTCTATAAATGATTTGTATGTATCAAATTGCTGACTAATATGGTGATGCAATACACTATTAGAAAGGTTGGAATATAAAATGATGAGAGCTGTGTCGATTGTGTTTAATGTAGATCTTGATGACTCCAACTCGTGTAACAGGGACTTGACACAGACTCAACTCAGATTCAACTCGAATTATTCTTTGGTGACTCGGACTCAAACACTGGAGATATGAGACTAATCTGAGTCGAGGTTTAGTGACTTGATTACAACACCGGTGGGTTTACTGAATTATAGTACTGTACTGTACTGTTAGCATACGTTTTCTATGTCAAGTTTATCTGTCTCAACTGTCAGACTAAAATATACTGTAGTCTGCTGTGACTCAAGCACTGACAGAGAAGACGTGAGACTCAATATGTTTGAAACTGTGATAGTACAAAGACACTTTAGGCTTAGGCTAATTGTTAGCCTGACTTTTATCTCAGTAGTTGAGTTTAATAAAGAAAAAAGAGAGGTGGTAAAAAGAAAATAGCTAATTATGTATGAACAGAAATATGAGAGGTAAGAAGAAGAGAATGTGGTGATGGTGGGGAGAATGAACTCACTTTGCCCTGGCTCAGTCCTTTGGAAACCACACCCCTGCTTTGAGAGGCAGATGACACCTAGGGGGGAAACAAGCCCACCCAGGGTAAATAACAACGCCTCGTAACAACACGCACAGAAAGGAGGAGAAGGCGGAGGAGGAGGAGCAAGTGTGAAAGAATCATGTATAAAGGAGCAGGATGAAAATTATGAAAGTGAAAACTGGGTTAAGGTGAGATACAAAGGGCAGAAGCAAAAGTAGAGGATGAGATGGAGGAGGAATAACTTGATAAAATGAGGATAGATAAGTCAACAATTCATGAAGGAAAGAAAAGCAAGATGACATGAGGGGTTAGCAATGAATAGAGAAGTAGGAGATAAAGGTGAATTAGGTACGAACAGAGGGAAGAGGGTAGGTGCACAATCTTAGGAAGAGCCTAGAAAGTGCAGTAAAATCACAAAACAGAAGTCTAACAGGCAAAGTTTGATCACTAGGTAAGCAATGAAATCAGGTGGCATCATGGAAATAAGAAAAGGTCAGATAGTACATGAACATGCAGAGGACAGTGCAGCATATGTCAAAACTAACAGAACCAAAACAAAACCGCTGAGTCAAAAACAGAAGATTTAAAGTGGATGTAGTAACAAAGTTGTATGTAATCCTAACAGGATGATCACTGGTTTGGCTTACACTGGATAAAGTAGGTGTACATGGATTATTCCTTTTAAGAATGGATCTTGAGTAAAAAAGAGTGAGTGAAGAACCACAGTGTAACTTGATAGACCTTGCAGCAAACTGCATTTGAGTTGAGGAGAGGCTGGTGTCCAGAAAAAGATCATCTATAGATGTAAAAGCTGCAGATGACACCACAGTAGGGGCCTACCTTCCCTCCTCCAGGCTGGTGCTTTATGTTGTCTGTAGAGCCAATCTTAGAGCGGGCATTGCGGATGCCAGGGGCTGGTGCTGAGGTGGGCCGAGCTGTGGTGCTCGAGGTGGTAGTTGCAGTGGTAGCTGTGGCTGAGGAAGTGGCCCGGGGGCTGCGGGGTACCGGTGGCTTTTTCTCTGGTACTGTGCCAGCAGTGGAGGATAGCGTGGCAGGTTTGGCCGCTGTGGCTCGAGTGTGAGAGGCAGAGGAGGCGGAAGCAGTGCTGCGGGTAGTGGTAGTAGTCTTGGTCTTAGTAGTGTTAACTGGGAGACAGAGAGGGAGACCTTTATAATGTTTCATAGTGGGGAAAAAGTGAGCCTGAATTTCTTAATTAAAAAATATACACCTAAAGCTCAGTAATTTACAATGCAATTTGTCTAACCAAGCCACAAAACAATAATTTGTAGTTCAAGGAGTAACATACTCCAGAAACCCTATGTAGTCGTAGTTCATCAAGTAATAGCAACAGCACATAACTTCCAATTTAATTATATACAATGTGTCAAAGAGTGAGCTTTCGAAGTGATGTTCAATGTGTTTTAGAATTTTTGAGAGAGCCAGACAAAATTATTGATGTTTCCAGGTTTTATGCAAAGCTAAGCTAATCATTTAGCTAAGATACACATTTAGTGCATACGTGATACTCAACACATCAACTAAACAGATGGCATAAAATGAGGCTTACTGTAGGGGTGTCTGTGTGATTTGGAAAATTTTCATTTTCCTAAAGAAAAAAAAAATCCTGAGGCTTTATGATTCTAGTACATATACAGAGACAAGAAAAATGAGAGGAATCATAGGAATGTTATACAAGAAATGCTGATGTTCATGTTTTAGGCTTGAAATCAGATGTTAAAGTGTCACACAAATACACCACAGGCATTTTAGCTAGCCACAGCTACATCTCTACAGTCTGCACTTTGGCTTTTTGATGGTATAAACTGCAAAAACACTGCAGCATAAAGCTGTAAAATCTGGGCAAATAACTTCAAATTTATTTGCATTCAATCTGAACACATTTAATACTTTAGCCTCTACTTGATTAATCTGCAGTGAGTTAAGGTCTATGTAAACTAAATCATGATATAAAAATGGTGGTGTTTGGACACTAATTGTGAATTGGCACTTGTAACCAAATACATTCACAATTCTCTGTTACACATTTAGCATCATTATACAAATGACAAAAAACCTAGATGCCTAATGCTTTATAGTATACATTCAGATGCACACACTAACCTAAACCTAAAGTCAAACTACAGAGAACATTGTCTGTCGCTGACCGTCAACCCTGACAGATAATGGATGTGAATGGCAGGAAAGAAAGCAGACCAGATGGAGGCAGAAGACAACCAGGCGCTAGGACATCACCTTTTCCAATATTTTACTTTACTTATCACACTCTTTGGGATCTCTTCTAAAGAGGAATTTGACTTGCCATATAAGCCCTGGCAGATTAAACAACTGGAAGCTGTATCAGCAGGAGTTGCAAACTCCTGTCAATGACAAGGGGACAGTAATCCACAGAATGCTGCGGTGAAGATTTTTAATTCTACAGTACCTATCACTCTCTACTTGAGCCAGCACTGTCTTGTGTCCAAAATGTAAACTAATCTGAAAGAGAAAGTGGGGAGGCAAAACTGAGGAAATGACTACTGAAGAGCAAAGTGAAGAAGAAACAAGCCAAACATATTTGATAGCAAAAGCACAGAAAAGGGACAGGCAGTACAGTGCAGGGTCAGACAGTAGATGGAAATAATGGCATCAGTGAGTTGGTCAAGAGAAAAGCAGCGGTGATATTATATGATGTGTTCAGCAGCTGTTGGATAAACTGCTCGTACAGTTGCCGTATTTTGTTGCACATTGGCCCTTCAAGTTCCACATGGTTAGGGGTATAGGAAGTTTCGTGTTACGGCTCATTATGTTCCTGAGTTAGAAATCCATAAACAGTAACTTATTTCTGGTTCTGGGCATAATAGAATTTTAAGATGAAAATTTGGAGTAAGTCAGGCACCAAATTGTGATGTCTGATGCCTCAATTCAGTTTTCATTTGACTGTGTTTTTCTGACTCTTAGTATGCGCTTGTATGGTGTTTCTTTTTAATGCCTTCTCTTTCTGCACAGAGTAACAAGGTGCTCTAGTACCTGTAGATGTCCTCAGGGTGCTGGGCTTCTTCTCCTCTCCTGGTTTGACATCTGTCTTAGAGGCTAAAACACAGATGGTTAGTTTATACTTGTTGTACAGGACAAAATATGTGAATAAAGCATTGTAAATGTTCAATAATTTACAATACTACTAGTGTAATTAATCCGAAAATGAAGTGAATGCACCTGTTTGATTTAGTAATAATACAAATGATTTCAAGACTAAACAATTTTAAATCTCTAAAACTAAATAAATCTTGATCACTGTCAGAAAATTATCAAAAATGTGTATGAACATGCAAGGAGAGTGTAAAGAAAGTATTCAGACCCCTTCATATTTTGCACACTTTGTTGTGAAAAAAAAATCGCATTTCTCATCATTTATTATCAGAATCCCAGTCCTGATCCCATCTTTCTGGCTCTTCTATGAACACTTGTTGCCTTATCCAGCCTCTAGATGTCCCTGAGCACCTTCCCTTGCCCTCTATTCCCAGTCACCTGCTTCCACTACCTCAGTCTACTCCCTAGTACACACAGTCAATACAGTGCTTCACTGCCTTGGTCACAAGTAAGCCTCATTTTGGTTTACAGTACATTCTGCTACTGCATCTGCCAGCCAGTGTATCCTCTGTGTCTTCTCCTGGGTGTGTTCACTCCGCTGCTGTCTCCTAGCATGAAACATGATAGTACAGTCAGGCCAACATGGACCCAGCAAACATGGCAAAGACAGAGTCACCAGTTACCAATAAACACTCTTCTCACTTTGCAATCCTTCGTCATGACTACCTCTGACCCGAAGAAGAAAATCACTGCCTGGTTCCAGAAGCTCCTGTTATTATGACCACGGCTAATGGACATTCTGGGATTACTTCAATTTATAGCCCACAAGCGTCATCTTCAGTTGCCTGGCCACAGTGAGCCTCAGCTGCCTCTGAGCCAGTCGTCCTAACAAACATCTAGTCTGTCCTTAAGTCTATTCCTGAATCTGTTCCTGAGCCTCTTCCTGGGTTGGTCCTCATTGCCGAAGCCCGTCTGTTCCTGGGTCAACCTTCCCGGTCAATGGCCCCTCAGCCCCAGAGCTGGTTCCTGTGCTGCTCTCCATGGCCAGCACCACTCCAGCTCCAGAGTCAGTCTCTGCTGTGGAGGGCCAGTCTTGTCCAGTGTTGGTTTCCTCAGCTGGTGCCCATCCTTCTCCAGAGTCAGCTGCCTTATACAACACCCAACCTGCTGTAGAGTTGATCTGCCTGCCTGCCATGCTCTGTTGCCACCTGTTTGTCCTGCATACTACTCTGAGCCCATGTGCTGCTCTCCCGCCTGAGGGTTCCCACCTTTGCTGTTGGTATACTAATTGTCCTGCAGTGGGAGTTTGTCCACAACTCAGAGCTCAAAGGTCCATGTCTGTGTCCTCTCTTTTCTTTAAGGACTTCCTGTATTTTGCTGCATTCATCCCTCCCCACCCTGCTTCTGAGAAGCATACCCATATCATGATGCTGCCCCCATGCTGCTTAACCATAGAGAGGGTGTTTCAATCAAGTTCTAGATGCAGCTCAAGGATATATAAAGCAAACAGAATGCACCTGGCCACAGTTTGGAGCACTACAGTACAAGCCTCTGAATGGTTTTCAGTTTTTCATTTTTAATACATTACCAAAAACTGTTAAGTGTAAAAATGAAGGGGTCTGACCACTTTCTGAAGTCACTGTATATTTGTGTGTGAGCATGTCTGGCATACCCAAAGGTTTTTTTGCTGCAGTGGTGCCAGTAGATGACACTGTGTGCACTGATGTAGTGGTTTTACTGGCTGCTGTGGTAACAGTTCTAGTTTTAGTGGCAGGAGAAGAGAATTTTTGATTTGTGGTGGCAGCACTGGCCTTTGGCACAGGGGGCCGCTTCTCTGTGGGTGCCTGAGAAATGGGAGAAACATAAAAACAAGGAAGATGTCACTTGAGAAGAAGAGGACAGGAAGAATTTACCAGAAACGGATCAATGAAGGGTAATGTTAGCAGCATCAAAAGCTACAAATCCATGGAAAACATAGCTCATTTTATTATCAACAAAATTAATGCTAGCAGCACTGAGCTGGGCCATAATACAATGTCTGTATGTCTGGCTAATGTTCAGTAATTTGAGAAATTCTGGTCAAAGATTTTACCCCAGTGTACGTAAAATATAGACTGAATCCACATTTCATTTAGTGCCATAGTTCCACCAGAACACCTAGAATGATATGACACTTTATTTGGAACTGAGCTATATGATTGTAATATATTTGAATTTTGATTTTAATTTGTTCTGCTGCAGTGCTACCTTAGAAGTAGGACTTGTTGTGCTACGTTCACACCGGGTCTGGCAAGACGCAGCTCCTTGTTGTGTTTTTATGCAAAAGGCTGCATTGGCTGGGAGGGTGAGGGGCTGCAGGGGGAGTGCCATGCTGCTAACGGAGCCTACTATACTGTAGCACCAATTTCTACCACCAATATGTTGGCACTGATAGATAAAAACATTGTTTATCATCCAGTACCCTAACTAATGAAAACGCATGGGGTGTCATTATGGTTAGGTAATGCACCTCTAAAGGACACTATGCATTGACTCCCTCTTTGTGGCACTGTTAATGGGGACAACAGCTTTTTTCTGACACCCCCAACATGAAGAATATATAGCTTATACTGTTGCCAGCTGCAAATCTGTACTCATCAGTGTTATAATACACTAGTGTGAACCTGTGAATTGAACAAGCACAGAAAACAAATGGCAGAATTCTCTGACCAAAGAAGGAAAAGATATTTGTGAGCTCCAAACCAAGCAAAGCTTGACATTTTAAGATTATGAATCCCTTCAATGTGTGTTAGCTTAAATGCCCAACTGCAGTCTGAGTCAGTGTCTTTCTCACTTTTGTTATCCACTATAACCAGGCATTCTGCAACCTCTGACAGCTGACACTTACCTTGGGTTTGACATTAGATGTACTGGTTGTGACTGATGATATGGGGCGGCTGGCAGAAGTGGTGGAGGGTCTCTTTAGGCTAACAGTGGCTGTGGATGGTGCCTTGGCTGTGGCTGTTTTGTTGTCTGAGGTGGGTTTGGTGGAGGGGGGCAATGGGCGCTTTGTAGGGGCTGTGTGTAAAGCACCACTTGCAGCAGCAGAGCTTGGCCGCATTTTGGCAGTGGTGCTCGGTTTGGTCAACCCGGCAGCAGGCTGCAATGCAGGACCGAGACATACAAGATGGATGGAGGGCAAATAAGGAGGAAAAGCAAAGGAAAAATAAGGAAAATGGATGATAACAGCAGCAGGGGTAAGCAGCAAAGTAACATTGTAAAAATATGTATAAATCATGTGCTAAAAACAACAGTTGCCATTGGGTTTGTTGCTACTGAGCAACTAAAGTGAAGCAGCTGGGGTTAAGTGCAGTGCTCAACGACATCTCAGTGGTGTTAATGAGGAAAGGGAAACCATTACAGTTTCACTTTCCCAACTCATGTCCTGCTGGCCCGGGGATGTTCCAGTCATAAGCCCACCTCTACAACCATTAGGCCATTGCTGTGCCCTAGTTGCATTTTTGTACCAATAATTACAACTTTAAAAAAACAAAAACAAAAAACAAGATGTTAAATGTATTTTGATTTTTTTTTTTTAAACATAGGTTGTAATATTGGCTTTAGTATTGCATAAAACGTAATTTATGTGTTGGAGAGTAGCACATATTTTGTATTACAGCAATGTACCAGTTATTAATAGGTACAAATTACTGTATTTGAAATATAAAAGTGATTGTATTAAAGTTGTTATTTCCAGTGATGCTCTGTTACTTTGACACTGTGGTGGATCGATCTGTATGTGGTCATATTGTCCCAAGACTCAGAGGCAGCATTTTCTCTGCGTGAAAGATGATAAGCTAAGGAGTTGAAGCAAGTTAGCCTGAATAGAAATGATATGAGGAATACAAACATGCCTGTGGGATGGTCTTATTTATACAGTATATTATTCATTGTACAATAAGTCCTACCTTGGTCTTCTTGTCTGCACTTGCCAGATCTTTGCCAGGTGTAGCAGATTTAGCTTTTTTGACCACATCGCGTACATCTGCTTGTGCGGCCTTGTCCTTGTCAGCTTTTGTCTCAACAGTCTTTTTTTCAGCTTGCATTATTTCCTGCTTCTCCTCCTGCAGTGGCTTTTCTGCAGGCTTCTGAGGCAGTTTTTCCACCTCATCCACACTCTCTATTTTCTTGGCTTTATCAGCCTGGTCTTCTTTGGTTTTGTCCACCTCCTCTGCTGCCTTTGTCTCCAGGTCAGCCTTCTTCTCCAGCTTGTCACAACTGGCATCAAGCTTGACGGCCATTGACTGTTGTTCCGGCACCTTCTCCACTGTCTTGATGTGCTGCTCTTTATCACCATTGATCTCTTTTCTATCAGGCTTCTCAGTATTTTTGTTCTCAGTTTTATCTTCCGCTTCAGACTTTTCAGTTTTGTCCATCTCTTTCACATTCTCTGCTTTCTCAGCTTTGCTCTCTACTTGTTCTTTCATCTCTACCTTTTCTACTTTTTCTGTCACGTCAGCCATCTTTAACACAGTATCTGGTGATTCTTCTACCTTGTTCATTTCAGTCTTCTGCTCTATTGACTCTGTCTCTTTCTCCATCTCTTTCTCTTTTTCTTTCACCTTTTCTGTCTTGTTTCTTATCTCATTTGTCTTTTCTGCCTCTTTTTCTGTCTCAAATTTTTCTGTGTCTTTCACCTCTTTAACCTTTTCTGCCTCTTCACTCACTTTCACTTTTACAGTTTCAGTTTCTTTCACTTTTACAGTTTCAGTTTCTTTCTCTTTTACATTTTCAGCTTCTTTCTCTTTTACATTTTTAGTTTCTTTCTCTTTTACATTTTCAGTTTCTTTCTCTTTGTCTTTCTGCTTTTCCTTCTCCATTTCTTTCTCAACCTTAGTTGGAGTCTCACTACTTTCATATTCAAACTTCACTTTCTTCTCCTCAGCTTTATGCAGAGAGTCTAACAGATCCACATTCTTTACATTATCCTCCAGCTTCTTTTCCTTATTCTCACCCTTCTCCGTGTTGTCTGATTTTACTAGGAAAAAAAAAACAGAAAATAAAGGTGATTCTAATTGCAAACCACAATAATATATTAAAGTAACATAACATTAAATAATAGATCTCAACACAGCCCAAGTAATCACTTAGTACCACAACAACAACTTCTACAGTAGAGCCATACATTCAAATCCCAGCAACATATCACTGACTTCAGACACAGCACCCAAACCAAAACATCTCAGATGGACCCATAAACATCATGAACTCATTTCAGTTTCTCTGCACATATAAGAAATATGCTCACACAGAATAATTACTTAAACCACATCACCAAAAGAGATCAGCAGCCCCTGCGCTTTTTCAGCGGTGTTATGTAGCCTAGCCATAACTGTAAAACGCTGCTGTTGGTTGAAAGCTGCACACGAGCTTCAGTATTTCATTGACAATGGAGGCTGTCTGACTTTGTTCAAAGCTTCCTGCCACGGTAGTTCCACCCTAACACTAGACAAATTTAGACAGATATTACACAAAATACTATAGGTTATTCAAACTTCTTGGGCTACTGGGCGCCCAGTGGGCCCACTGGGTAATTCATCCAGTGTGACAACACAGACACACACACACACAAAATCTGCAATGCATTGTGAACTGAGCCAAATGATTCACTGTGTGATTATTTGCCTATATGCGTTGTCAATGTATATTGAGCTTTTTTACCATGCTGCACTGAAAAAAAAAAAAATCCAGTGACTGGTTGTATGGCTAAGTGAAGTCATGAAGTTGTTTTCCAAAAAATGTGAATTCATATTTATCTCAAACAGTGAAAATACTGTACATAATTAACTCAAGCATCAGGTATCTCCTATGCACACTGATTTCTTTTTTTGAAGCCAGATATGACTATTGTTTGTAATAAAAGGCCCAGGAGAGAAAAGGTTCAACCTAGCAGAAACCTTCGAGGTTGAGAAATGAAGCCAATGCAGAAGTGCCAAAACCTACAGTTCCTCAAATGAACACCTGAGGATGGCTCATAAAGGGAGTCAATCCCCACAGACTCCCATGTTAAATTGTCCAACTGTATAGCACAAATAAACGTATTCACAGCCTGGTACAAAAACAGTTTTGCTTTCTTTAGCTAATTTCTCCTTCCACGGCAACTGTACAGGGGGTATTTTATTTTATTTTATTTTTTTACTCACCTATTTAAATTATACTGAGACTAAAAGTTGCACATAATTAAGGGCATGGCTGCTTTGAGTGACAGGTGGGAGGTTCCTATCATAGGTGTGTGTGTGTGTGTGTGTGTGTGTGTGTATATATATACATACACACACACACAGAGTGAGAGCAGGGAGAAAACATTAATATAATATAAAGGCAACACAAAGATGGCAAAAAGAAGTGATTAGGAATGTTTGTGCATTCCCTTGTGCTTTTTTCTGACATTAGCTTCAGTGTTTTAACTTTTTAAACAATTCATACTATGCCGATAATGGTCTTTAATATTCACTTGTAACTGAAGAAGAAAAAGTAAATGATTGAAAGCGACAAAAGAACAACACAGGGAGGAAAAAAGAATGGGGAACAAGACAAGGGAACTAAGGTGTAAGGCTTTGATTAGAACACAAAGACATTAGCGTACATAACATACTGTGACCCAGGACCTGGAACACCAGATCAAACAAATTGAACAAAATCCGTGGCTATATACAGGGGGAAAAGAATGCAGATTAAAAGAAGACAACAGTGTGATGAGACAAAGGAAAAGTAACATGAGATGAGAAATGGGAACAAGGCCTTCATTTTGTATGCTGCCAACAATGAGAGACTCCAGCGATCAACTTGATCCTTTAATTGGGGCAGAAATCTGATATGTGTGACAGCTGTGAAAAGCCGGGTAAAAATGGCTTCATTTAAGCAAACAGCAGGAGGTGACACCCACCCTACACACTCTCACACTCTTCCCCGTGTCACTCTTGTTGTTTCCTGTGCTGCTGTTGAAGATTATAACTCAGTTTCAAGATTTATATTAGCAGTCAACTTTCTAAATCAACCTCTAGATATTGGCCACAGAAATCAGAGCTACAGTAGGTTCAGTGCATCTCTGGCTGTCTGATTAACATTCAAGCCTCAGTGGCAGCTCTGTTATGTTATGTTTATAGAAATCATTAGAAATGAACACTGTTCAGCTCCACTTACAGTATTTATAGGCTTGTTTATTGCACTCTGGTCTACCACTTAATGCTTGTTCAGTGGTAATCAGGTGTGTTTTTGGCAACACATCAAACTTGCCTTGCCTTGTAGGTGTCAATTAAGCCCTATTGTTTTACCTTAACATTTAATATTACCTTATATAAACACTACATTTTTTGCAAATACATACCTTAGAAAAACATTCTGCTTTAGCTACTAGCAATTCCTATTGGCATTATAACCCCAACAACTGCCATTCCACTCAAGAAAAATTCAATGTTTGATGAGTGTGAGGAAACATCTGAGTTAGGTGGTGAATATTTTAATTGATTTATAAATGAATTTATGAAAGTTGAATGAGTCATTATATAAATTAAGGTTGTGGTCTTTATGCAAACTATACCAAGGTTATACCAGGTTAAAAGTTAAAACTGCTTACATATACACACATTAATGTTAATAAAGCACCTGAATATAGACATACCTGTAGATACCCACAAACACATTCAAAAAAAATATGTTCACATGAAAGTGCTGCATTTCAGGACAGTGGCAACTGTTAGCAAAACATAAACACATGCCTAAATGTCCAAAAGACCCTGATATTTATGACACTAGTGATTAGCCACACTCTAATCTACTATATTTACTGTGTTATCATGAGTGTATCGAACTGTAATCCCTGTATCATGTGTTAGGTAATTTCTTAGTTAGATAGATATTGATTAGAGATCTGTTGTATTAGAAAATGTTAGTGTAGCCAGGATGTCTTGCTCAGGCTGTTAAATGATCAGTTCATTGTCATGAGTTCTGCGGGCTGCATCTAGGGCAAGGTCAGCTAGATTGCAGAGTCTGCAGGCAGGAGGAATATTGCTAGTAGCATGATATGCTCAGCCGTAATCTTAATCATAACATTTTCCGAGGCTTACTGTTCGAACATGTCCCTGAATGTCCTGTATGTTTTTAGATACACACCACATAATCAACATTCACACACATTATTTTCTTCATGTTTTGACTACTGCTCTGCTCAGCTGCCAAGCTGGCATATCAGGTGACGTCACGGTTTGCCTGCGTAGGATGGGGCTAGCCCAACGAAGTGATTAAATTGTATAGGCTATTAGGTTCGGGGTCTTTTCATCTTCCGGGCTGCCTGCGAGCAGTTTTGGGGGTGGAAGATGCCTGGTCGTGTAATGTTAGTTCTTGCCTGTGACCCTTTGAATAAACCAGCACGGTTATATTTTTTATATACTCAAGTGGTCCACTTCGTCTCACTGAGTTCCTGGTTGAAAGAACCGGACGTGGCTTTATAATAGAATAAAGCCTTTACATGTATCAATCATGCATCCAAACATTAGCTTAACAGGTTCCTCATTTGCATCAATTCTATGCTGATTTACTGACCTCAGCTCATCTATGGTCACTATTGTCCTTTCTTTGTTTAATCAGCCAGTCTTTCAGACTTAGACCACTAACTATCTGTTTAATTAGACACCAACTCTGAGTCATTCATGCAAAAATTGCAGGTATTTAGACATTCTATGCAATAAGCTGTATAGCAGTGTTAATGCATAGCCTAGCTTTTTTTTTTGGCAAAGGCAATAGAGACACAACAGAAGCACCATTTCTGACTGTCCATGGTGAAGTGATTTCTCAATGCTGATGTTGATCTTGCCTCAGTCAGTGGCTCACAGTGTTGTATCAGATTTCAACAGCTCATAATTCTGTAGCAGCAGTGAATGCATATAGGGAAAACAGGGGTGCTGCATCACACATTCTCATATACAAACAGGCAGACACTTGCATATGAATACAACCATCTGTGCCCTTTGTTCCAGAACTCACACATAAGCAATTCTATACATACAAACACACACCTTATAGCAGATCTGTATCTAAAATTGGCACTCTGTGTTTGACCAACACAAGACAGTACTAACATGGAATGTCAATTAGCCTGTGGGGGCTGCTCAGTTGCTGTTGAGTTTAAGCCATTCATTCTCTCTCTTTCACTCCGTCTCCCTTGCTGTCTGACGCTCCTCTCAGTCTCCGTCTAGAACTATTCTTAGCCATTTGCCTGCTTATACCAGAAAATCACTGCTTTCATCCATAGAACTAAATGCCTACAATCTACCTTACTTGCATCACCATACAGCCCTTAATGATAAGAGTGTTACTGGGATGCTATTTGAATTATGTGTCCTTGGTATTATTTGAGTCAAGGCTTTCCTTGTGCTTAAGTGTGGAACACAAACTGCAACACTTAATCAAGATATCATCTTCCCTATTTAAATTGCTTGTTTGCCTGCATGCATGCTGTACCCACTACATTTTTAACACCCAACATGAACAAGTCATAAGAAGGAGACAGTAAACATGACCTCCACCTACCATCCATTGTATTGAAGGACTTAGTGCTGGATTTCAAGCCAAGGTTGGTATAGTCTCCAGTGTCAAGGTCACCATCAGTGTTCCCATCCACTGTTGATGTGTTACCAGCTCCAAAGTCTACAACTACAGCTGTGTTGAGTTTAATATCGGCATCACTGCCACCATCAGCGTCATCTTTAACCATTTCG